TGTACGTAGTAATCTAGTCCCGAGATGCTGACTTCTGTTGCAATTGTTCATGTCTGTCACTGCGTGGGGTGCGTAAACAAAGGAGTATGGCTGCATCCCAAGAAGACCTCAAATTAGGTAGCAGGCGTTTGGATCTCAGACCTTAGTTTGCCAAGCCCTTAAAAAATAATAATTAGTTGGGCGGTGATGGTGTAGACAGGTGGGTCTCTGTGAGTTTGAGGCCAGCCTGATCTACAGAGCAAGTTCCAGGACAGCCAGAACTGTTACATAGGGCAACCCTGTCTCGAAAAACAACCAAACCAAACCAAACCAAAAACAAAAAAGAATTAGATTTTCATCTTTGTAGGTGTATGCTGTGTGTGTTTGGGTCCCTTTGAAGGCCAGAGAGCATCACGCCCCTTGGGAACTGGAGTTGCAGGTGGTTATGACTCACCTGACATGGGCACTGGGAACCAAATTTGGGTCCTTTGGAAGAGCAGCCAGAGTTCCTGACTGCCGAGTCATCTCTCCAACATCTTAAAAATTACATGCTTACACTTTTTAAAAAGGCAACAAAATACAATATTGCTAATTATCTTAAAAATGTTATCTTTCCATTTAAATTATATATATATATATATATATATATATATTAGAGCAACATATATATTCTCTGTGTGTATTTGTTTGTTTGTTTTTTGGTGTTTTTATTTGTTTGTTTTTTCAAGACAGGATTTCTCTGTGTAACTTTGGCTGTCCTGGAACTCACTCTGTAGATCAGGCTGGCCTCGAACTCACAGAGATCAACCTGCCTCTGTCTCCAGAGTGCTGGGATTAAAGGTGTGCGCCACACTGCCCAGCCTCTGTGTGTATTTGTACACTTGTGTGAGCAGGTGCAGATGTGGAGGCCAGAAGAGGGCATCAGGTGTCCTACAATACTCTCTACACTTGTCCTTTGGAGACAGTGTCTCCTGCTGAGCCTACAACTTGCAAGTCCTCAGCTGACTAGAGACCAGCCATCCCCAGCCCTTCTGTTGCTGCCTTCCTTAGAATCAGGGATGAGGTGTGTGGGATGCCTGATGTGTTCTGTGCATGTTGGGATCTGAACGCTGGCTATTGGAATTGCACAGCATTCTTCCAGTCCTAGCATTTTGTTTTTGAGACATGGTCTTATGCTATAGCTCACTTTGGCTGGCCTGGAACTCACTATTATACAACAGGCTGGCCTCAAACTCAAGGCAGTCTTCATGTCTCAGCCTCCTGGGTGTTGGAAATTCTGGTGTGGAAATAGTAAATTCTTTGCAAACTACAGCTGTATCTTGTATTTCCTTTTCTCTCTCATATCCTTTGAGCACAATGTCATAGATGGGCAACAAAAAACACACCTTAAAGAACAGTCCCTTTAATCCGTTCTAATTGTGGGTTCACCGCTTCCCACTGTGGGACACCGTGTGAGAAGGACCTTTCCTGTAGTTTCCTATCTGGTTCTTATAGCATCCTAGGAAAGAAAGGGACTGGGCCGATGAGTTCTCCCATAATGCAGGTCAAGATCATGATGGAAGCTCAGCTGTGTAAGTGAAGACCCTATTTATATTGCCTGATAAATGGTGGGCCTGGGTTTAGAGACACTTCCTGCTGTAGCTGCGAATTGTTCCTCTTCACCCCTTAAAGGAAGGAGCCAAAGATGCGTTATCTTTTCTTTCTAATTTTAAACTTCCTGCTTTGCCTTAAATCTCTGATGAGGGTTAGCATTCTAATATTCCTGTTAAATCTCTCATAAGGGTCAGCATTCTAATATTCCTGTTAAGTCTCTCATAAGGGTCGGCATTCTAATATTCCTGTTTTCTTGGCACAGAAAAGAGTCACTTACATTCTCCTTTCTCAACAGACAGATTTGAACTTGGCAAGGTTAGAATTTTAATCCGTTTTGTCTTGTTGACCGTGTCCTTTGCTTTACAGAAGCTTTTCAGTTTCAGGAGGTCCCTTTTATTAATTGTTTCTCTCAGTGTCTGTGTTGCTGGGGTTCTATTTAGGAAGTGGTCTCCTGTGCCAATGCCTTCAAGTGTACTTCCCACTTTCTCTTCTTTGAGGTTCAGTGTGGCTGGCTTTATGTTGAGGTCTTTGATCCATTTGGACTTGAGTTTTGTGCATGGTGATAGATATGGATCTATTTTCATTCTTCTACATGTTGGTATCCAGTTATGCCAGCATCATTTGTTAAATATGCTTTCTTTTTTCCATTTGATATTTTTTGCTTCTTTGTCAAAGATCAGGTGTTCAAAAGTGTGTGAATTAATATGTGGGTCTTCTATTCAGTTACGTTGGTCCTCCTGTCTGTTTTTATGCCAATATCAGGCTGTTTTCAGTACTGTAGTTCTGTAGTAGAGTTTGAAGTCAGGGATTGTGATGCCTCCAGGAATTCTTTTTATTGTACAGGATTGTTTTGGCTATCCTGGGTTTTTTGCTTTCCATATGAAGTTGAGTACTGTTCTTTTGAGGTCTGTAAATAATTTTTCTGGGATTTGAGTTGCCCTTGATCTTATGATCCTCCATCCCCAGCTACTCAGGTTCTGGATCTGTGAGCCAGCTACTTGATGAAGTAGATAAAATTATCCCATTTCAGTTTCTCAGAGGACACAGTCATTTAGTATCTGTGTTGAGCTCCTGAACCTGTCAGCCACACTAGATTCAGGTTTACACTTTCCCATGCTGTGTCCTTGGCTGGGAACACTTCCTCTTACTGTGGGAGAGGGTTTTCCCTCTAGATCAGCCAGTGATGGTCACACTGCAATAGGCATAAGTAGTAATTTACCAACTGCTTTACTTTTCTTTGATATTTAATATTACAGAACCAGTGAGAGTCCAGCCGAAAAGAGGGAGGAGGGATTATCTGAGCAAGGGTGGGGATCAAGGTCATGAGGGGCAAACCCACAGAGAAAACTGACCTGAACTTAAGGGAGCTCATGAACTCTAGACTGACAGAAAGGGAGCCTGCATGGGACCTACATAGTCCTTCTGCATGTGGGCGACAACTGTATAGCTTGTTCTGTTTGTGGGCCCTAACAATGGGACCAAGATCTGTTCCTGACACATGAGCTGGCTTTTGGGAACCTATTCCCTATGATGGGAGGCCTCACTCAGTAGTGATACAGGGGGAGGAGCTTGGTCCTGCCTCAACTTGATATGCCATGCTTTGTTGACTCCCATGGGAGGCCTTATCCTTTCTGAGAGTGGATGGTGGGGGGAGGGTAGAAAGGAGGTGAGGGAAGGGAGCAGGAGGAGAGGAGTGAGGGGAAACTATGGTTGGTATATAAAATAAATAAAAGAATTAGTAAAACAATAACAACAAAAAACAACAAACCATTACAGAGCCAGTAAAATGGCCCAGCAAGTGATGGCAGGTGGTCTTGCTGACAAGCCCAACACGCACATACACACATGCACACATATATATGCACATGCACACACATGCATATGTGGTAAGTAACTGTAATACAACAGTTACACATATATTTAAAAATGTAACTGTGGGAAATAAGCTCAAGTTCTACTTTATTACCCAAGGAGAAGGCCCATCTTGGCAGCCCACCTTTCTCTCAAAAGCTGTGTAACGCAGTAGCTGCCATTATAACAACGGAATCCAAACTGCCAGGCTCCTATCTCAGCAGTCCATCTTGTCCTTCTGTGACTGGGGTCCTTATCTGCGCTGTGGAGGCGAGGGCATAACCGCCTCCTTAGGATTGTGAGCACTGGGTGATGTCACACACGGAAGGCACTTGGGGTGCAATGCAAGTGGATATTATTGTATGTGCGTGTAAGTGTGTGGTATGTGTGTGTTGTGTGTGTGTGTGTGCAAGGGCCAGAGAAAAAGCTCACTGTTAACTCCTCAGGTGCTGTTGAGGCAGGGTCTCTCTCATTGGCCAGACATACCAACAAGAGAGGCTGATTAGTCAGCAAGCCCCAGAGATGTACTTGTCTTCAGCTCTCTAGTTCACCATGCCCACCTTTATTTATTTATTTATTTATTTATTACAAAAGCAAGATCACGGGTTCATGGAATTGAATTCAAGTCCTTGTGTTGGCAAGGCAAGCATTTAAGATTGTGTGTAGACAGGGTTTGGAGGTACTGTGATTTCTGAAACTGAACTTAGCTCAGCTCAGAGATGACAAGTGTCTGCTATTCTGGAGACATCCCTGTGGTGATGACAGCCGTATGTCTGATATTGGGTACCAGATCCCCCGAGTCTGTTGATGCCCTACGCTCTGTCCACTTCTTACTCTGTCATTCATTCACTTGTGTTTTACACATCAACAGTGTTCCAGAGTTTCAGGAAAATGGTATTTTCTCTCTTCATTTTGAAATGTGATTTTTATTTTATGTGTATGAGTTTATACCTGCATGTATGTGTCTGTGATATGCAGACTTGTGTACATTAGCCTTGGAGGCCAGAAGAGGACATTGGATGCCCTGGGGCTGGAATTCACAATGTGGGTTCTGGAAATTGAACTCAAGTCCTCGAGAAGAGCAGTCAATGCTCTTAACTGCTGAGCCATCTCTCCGGCCCCATATTTTCTTTTATCGTATCATTTTAAGTTCAGGACCATGACTTATAAATAATATAAATCCATGTAAAGAATGATATACTCAAAGGCAGGAGACCTGGGTTTTTATTTTTATTTTGCTTATTTATCTTTTTAATGATACCCAAGACTCACACCAGGCAAGCACTCTGCCACCAAGCTACAGCGTCAGCCCAGGGGACACAGATGTGTTAGTGACTAGGTTTATGTTACTGGAGAACTTAACTTCTGTGTTCCACTTGGCAAGTTATTATATATTTTTCTTTCTTTGGGGCAAATAGTGTTTATTGTCACACAAGTACACACACACTCTCACACAAATGTATATATAATACTTGAGGATATTAGTTATTCAATGGAAAATTTTCATTATGAATTGTGATTTCCTTGCTGTAAGTGGTTTCTTTATACTAAAAGTAATTACTGCTTTCTATTTCTAGCTTCGAGCTCAGAATCAGGTCCTAAAGAAAGGCGTTGTGGATGAGCAGGCCAATTCTGCTGTCCTAAAGGTATGCAGTGGGAACCTGGGGTAGCAAAGGTTGTTCCGTGTTTGGAAAAGCAGATAGTTTGGGGGATAAAGTCCAAACTCTGACACTGATTTACTAGGGGTAGGGATGATCAGAGTGTTTACTGTGTCTGACTTTCCTCCTTGCTTAGGTATGTATATTATATGTCTCCTCAGCTTAAAAAATGTAGAAAAATACTTCATCTAATGCATTTCTTCTGTAGTCCAAGGCCTTTGTCGAGTCAAATCCATCTGGATGGATGCAGCCTTGTATCTGCCCTCTCTGGGCAGCACTCTGAGGGAGTGGCCATGTTTGTATTTGCATCTCCAGTGCTCAACAAATAGGGCCTAAGAAATGAATTTGAAGCATGAATCATGTGGTCCGTTTATTCTTGCCATTGGTTTGCTGCTTCATGGTGACAGCCTGTTTTCCCCCAGCATGTTTGCTGACGGAAACATAATGGGCTGAGAAAGGGTTTATCTCTGCCCTGTTCTATTTGGCATATATAAATGCTGGCTTATTATACTTTTGACTGAAGAGATTAATTGTGGGATATGGATTACTTTCCTGAAACGCTTGAAGAATTGATCACTGACTCTCGTAATGTTTAGAACCTAGTACTGAGGAAGTATCTCCCAAATAGCCTGCTTTGTTTGGCGGCTCCTGGTGCTGGTCTTGTGGATAACTGTGGTGCTAGGGGCGCGTGGATGGTCAAGGCAGTGGTGCTGGAAATACTTCGTTCTGTCTCTGAGCTCTCGCTCACTCCAAGCCAGGCACTGTACTGAGCACTGTATGGAGCACATCCTACACCTGTTCTCTTATTTCCTGTTATCTCTGAAGGACTGATAATGTTATCATCCTGTTGCAGAAGCTGGGCTTTAGGTAGCGGTTGGCACACGACTGCTTCCAGAGCTGATGATTGGTTAGCACGTTTAGAGCATCATGCAACTGGTGGGAACTCATCGCAACAGTGTAAGGAAACTGCTTTGCGTCCTGTTCATCCTGAGCTCACGGCAGTTGCAGTACAGTGTTACAGTACATTGTAATTACGGGAAAGTGAATGTCAAGGTGTCCTCCTTGATTTAATTGAATCTGCCCCTTAATGAATTCACTTACACTTTCTTTTATTTAAGATTTTATGATAATTACACTTGAACTGAGCCTATGTGTACCTTTGACCTTCAAGTAAAAATGAAAGGCATACTGAGAAACAGTAAAGAAGAACATTTTTGACTGTCGGATACATGGTTGGGCTCTCCAGCTGCCTTTCTCATACAGAACATCCCACAGCACACACAGTAGCCATGCAGTTAGGTTGCTGCTTCAATACAGTTAGAGTATCTGTCCATTGTTAGTCTTATGACTGTTCTTGTCAGTGAAATTAATCAAAGTAATTATTTAAATGGACAGTAGACTCTGGTTGCTTTTGTTGTTAATCAGTGAACACAAAATTGTAAGTAAAATATAGTTAATTATAACTTGTGCATTTTACAATAAGGTGAAATGATGTCTCTAACTTCCTGTTTCTACCCCTTTATAAAGAGTAGAAAATAGTCAGCAGATAGGATGTTATTGAGGTCTTAGTTGTTGAGTCTATTTTTATGGGCTTGAAAGTGAACCGATGTGGACCAGAGTGTGAAGTCGTCTTGTGCTGTCTGAATATTGGCTTCAAAACCTAACAGGTGGCAGGGTTAGGTGGAAGGAGGTGTGTTGAGAAGATTGGAGTCCAGCTGTAGCCCTCCATGTGTGTAGGTGTCCTTGAAGGCCAGGTTAGGTTTTCAACTTGGCACAAAGAAAGAGGATGAGGTGGGAAAAGACGTCATTTAAGTTCAGAGAACATAGAGAAAGGAGTGTAATCAGACTCCGGCCCTCTGATCACTGGAGGTGTTGCTAATAAGTCTACAGTTCCCTTTACACACCCAGGTTTATAATTGTGCAGTCCCTGGCCTGTCTGCTCGCTGTCACAGACTTAACAGAGCTGCAGGCATTTTGCTTTATTTAAGTTGCTGATAGTCTGTTATTTCAATATATATATTTTATTTTATTTGTAAATATGCTAGTTTGGCTGGAAGATACTTTTTGTGCAAAATAGTTAAAATATATCTGAAATAATAAACATAAATTATTCATTCCCCGAAGCAAGGGGTTTTATTTTATATTGGTTGAACAAAGACTTAAAAACAAACAGCCAAACAGTGTGAGGAACTGTTTCTCTTTGATGTAGGAACAACTGAAAATGAAGGATCAGTCGTTGAGGAAACTACAACAGGAAATGGACAGTTTGACATTTCGAAATCTGCAGCTTGCCAAGAGGGTGGAACTCCTTCAAGATGAGCTAGCGCTAAGTGAGCCTCGAGGCAAGAAGAATAAGGTAAGTTCAGCAGAGGCCCCTGTGTGGAGAGGGATAGACTGGCTTCAGTAGCAGAGCCACTCCTGGACCTCAGTGCTCCACTGTGCATCTGGTAACAGTCCAGAAGGGAGATGTTTGCTATTGAGACATCCACATAGGGGCATTTTCCTGTTTTCTTTTGGTTTCAAGACAGGATCTCTTCACGTAGCTTAGGCTGGCCTCAAATCCTCAGTTCTCTCATCTTAGCCTCCGGGTGCCGGAATGACATGCGTGTGCCACCATGACCAGCTTGGGCATTTCCATAGGAAGGTCAGTTCTTAAGGATTTTTTAGCAGCAAGTGTGAATGATTGATTTAGTAGATGAGGAAAGTCGTGGAACATCTCATTTTGCTCAGAGGTGATGTCTTTGTTCCCTTAATTCCCGCTAGCCGAAGATCTGGCAAATGCAGTTGGGGTGGGGAGTGGGCTGTAGCTGCTCGAGCAGGGAGCAGCTGGGGCCTGAGAGTTGAACGGTTGTCTGCTTAAGAGCAACATTGGGCTAGTGGCAGAGTATTAAGTCTTACATGTATGTGTATCCATATTCTGCAAGTGTGTTAAAAGAAGCAGCAGATAGGGACCCTGAAGGAGGATGTGTGCAGGGAAGAACACAGACTCTAGAGTTCAGCATGGTTTCAGTTCTCGGCCTGCCACTTATATCTCTACAACTTTGGCAAAGTTGTTACTCTTTTAGCCTCAGTTTATCCATCTGTAAAGTGGATATGAGAATTTAAGGCTTTGGGGATTGAAGTGATCACATGAAGTGTATTATCATGTGATAGGTGATATCTTTCCCAAATGCATCATTCTGTTTAGAAGGGTGCCCTGAAGTGTTGAGTGTAGAGGGGACAAAGAGGGCCTGCCATGTACCTGATAGAACTAGGAAGTGTGCTTGCTTTGGGGATTCCAGATACTCCCTGGGAGGAAATAGCCATCTAGCCTGTAGACCTGACTATCAGGTGTTTCTGAGCTGGCGGGGGGTCTTACTCTGTAGCCCAGGCTGGCCTGGGATTAAATACGTAGGCCAGACTGGCCTCAGGTGTGTAGTGTAGTAGTTTTCTTGCCTCGGCTGCCTAAGAACTGGGGTTACAGGTGTGAGCCACTATGCCTGGCTAACAAAGCAGGTTAATTATTTAGCAGAGGTGCCTAAGACTTGTGAATTAGTCTCAGTTAAAACTTTGAGGTTTGGAACACAAGGACCCCCAGTAAATCATTCCACAGTGTGCCTTATGTACCTTTTGTGTTCCAGATGTGGTGGGTGTTTAGTGTCTTTGGTTTTTGTAGTGCTGTGTTTCCAGAGGCTCCTCTCACCGCTGATTTGTATTGCGTCAGCAGGTGAGTTCATCTGCAGTGATGAGTGAGCTACTGAAAAGGCAGAGATGGGTGGCTGATGTCTGCACACAGTGCCATTGTGAGACTGCTCCTTGAACAGTCTCAGCTCTGTGTGTCACACAGAAACAAGCATTCATTCTTAGATCTCCTAAATAGTGCTATTCTTCCTAGGGATAAGTTCATACTAACCAGAAAGGAATTTTCCATAAGCTCAGCTTTTTCTTGTGTGCATAACAACATGCTTAGGTTTTTATTTAAATAGAAATTTATGTAAACTCTTATAAGAACATATATTTGTGAATGCTGCTATATGAGTTTATAGAATTGCTTAAAGGAATACAGTAATTCAGACTCTAACATAATCTCTCCCGAATCGAAAGATCAGATTGAGATGAAGCTTCCTGCTATTCTTGTCTTCTAGCAATTCCTGAATTCATATGCAAAAAATGATGAATCCATTTATTTTTTTCTGTCCCTCTTTAATTTTTCTTACCTTTGTCATCGTTGCAGTTCCAGTTTGGGTCCCCTAGGCAAAGTTAAGTGGTGAGCTGTGCCTTTTGCAAGGTGGTTTGAAAAGAGTGAACATGTAGAAGAAAAGCCACTGAGGTCATAGGTGCTGTGCGCCTCAGCTTGTTCCTCTAAAGGATCGGAGCTGTGTGGACATAACTTGTTCTTTCCCTCAGAAAAGTGGAGAGTCGTCTTCTCAGTTGAGTCAGGAGCAGAAGAGTGTCTTTGATGAAGATCTGCAAAAGAAAATCGAGGAGAATGAACGGCTGCATATCCAGGTGACAGGAAACTGAATGACTGACAATGGGTCTTGGGACTGACAAGATGGCTCAGTGGGTCAGGGCACTTGTTTCAAGCCTGAAGGCCTACATTCACTCCCTGGGTACCACATGGTGGAAGGAGAGAACCGACTCCCACAAGTTGTCCCTCTGACTACCACATGTGTTCTGTCATGTGCCCACACACAATAAATAAATGTTGAAAGAAATGTGTCTTGACACTGGAGAGATAGCTGTGTGGTGAGGAGAGCTTACTGCTCTTCTAGATGACCTGGGTTCAGTTCCTACCTCCCATTTTATGGCTCAAAAATGCCTGTAAAAAAAAAGGGGATCCCTTTTCTGGCCCCCGAGGGCACTGTGTGCATGTGGTCCAGGTTCATAACATGCAGACAAACACAAACTAAAACAAGACTTATACACGTAAACTACATAAATACGTTTAAAGATGGGTCTTATAATCCGAGATGTGGAAAAATTAATGCAAATAGTTACCTTGTTGTCTGCATGGATTTTTTCATGTTTTCTATATGTCCCTTAAGAATGTACTGTAACTATGATTTGTTCATGTCTTAACTCTCACCCATGGCTTGATGTGACTATGTACATTTGTTCAGCATCTTCAGATCAGAAGTATGCTAGGCACTACTAGTCCCTTTACCTAGAGTTGATGAGCTGGGTCATTTGGTGGGATCTTAGCAATAAGTAGGGTTTGTTTCATGATCTATGATATATAGGGTTTTGTTTTGTTTCTGTATTTTTGAGGCAGCTTTTCTTGTAGCTCAGTGCTAGCCTTGAGCACCCTATGTTGTCAAGAATGTTTTTGCAATCTTAGTTCCCTTGCCTCATCTATGAAGTGCCGGCATTACTGTTATGCATCATTGTGCCAGCTTTGAAAGATCTTAGGGCCCACAAGATGGTTCAGGGCATAAAGATGCTTGTCACCAGGTCTGAGAACCCAAGTTCAATTCCTAGGATCATAAACCAATTCTTGTCTTCGGACCTCTATACATGCACACACGTAAATACTTGCAAGTAATTAGAAAAAGAGAAATCTTGAAAAAAAATTTTTTTCAAGATTTATTTATTTATTAGGTACACAGTGTTCAGCCTCCATGTATGCCTGCAGGCCAGAAGAGGGCACCAGATCTCATTACAGATGGTTGTGGGCCACTATGTGGTTACTGGGAAGTGAACTCAGGACCTCCGGAAGAGCAGTGTTCTTAACCTCTAAGCCATCTCTCCAGCCCCAATCTTGAAAAAAATTTTACCTCTGCATTTTTTATCTAATAAATGAATTAGCATCAGAGTTATTAAGGAAGAATGCTTTGTATGTTTTAGAAGCAGCACCTCAGTTGAATTGTCTATGAATAGTTGTCCGAAGAACAGATTTGGGGGCCTAAGAGAAGGAAGGTGCAGACTGTGGAGCAGGTTTCTCTGTTCTCGTGTCATTTCTGCCATGTTTTAACTATGAGTCAAAGACCATATGATGCTTTCAAGCTATTTCTACATCTGTAAAAGAAGGCCAGGAAAGTGCCATCCATGCTCCCCGTGGGAATTAAGTGCCCTGGTGCCTTCGGCTCAGCACCCTCAGCCGTGCGGTAGTCACAGGGTGTGTGGTCGCTGCTGTCCTCACTGCATGCACTGGGGTCTCCTCCTCTCAGTTTTTCGAAGCAGATGAGCATCACAAGCATGTGGAGGCAGAGCTGAGGAGTCGGCTGGCCGCTCTGGAAACTGAAGCTGCTCAGCACCAAGCTGTGATCGATGGCCTGACCCGGAAGTACATGGAGACCATTGAGAAACTACAGAACGACAAGGCTAAGCTAGAAGTAAGCTCTACTACCCGTGGGGGCTAATTAAGACCTAGGTCAGGCTCCTGTAAGTTCTGGGGTGCTGCATGGGGACTCAGCCATAGGCTGAACTGTCAGTTTTTCTCCCCCCCCCCCCAAATTCAGGTAAAATCTCAGACTCTAGAAAAGGAGGCCAAGGAATGCCGACTTCGTACAGAAGAATGGTATGTGGAAATGGGAATCGGGCCCTGAGGGCAGAGTCAGACCCAAGCCTCTGTTTCACTCCTTCTCTACTGTCCACGCTGAGCTGAGGAGACTCGAGTAGGCCTCTGCCAGGAAGGGCCTTTTCCAGTCGCAGGGCCACAGCACCTGGACAGAGTGGCCTCTGCTGGGCCTCAGGATAGGTCTGGGATGCCCTGCTTTCAGCTCTGAACTGCGACTTTGTGTTTCTGACTCTCCTGGGACAGGGACTGCCTAGTAGTCTCCAGCAGGAAATATGACTGTAAACGGTGCCACTTTCTTATGGTACATTTTGAAAAGGATTGCGATTATGACATCCAGTTGAGAGATCTCTAAATCTTAGAGCATTACATAGCAAATGTGCCAAAACCATTCATAGTCTTAATTTTTTTTTTTGGTATTTACCATAATACATAGGTTTCACTGCATTGGTAGAAATATATGTGTGGCTTAGATGGTATCTTTGCTAATAATTTAGCCAAAACAGACGTTATCAGCTTTTGAACTGAAGAAATAATCTGGTAAAGTACTTAAAAAATGCTGTACAATGATAATTGAATAAACATTTATAGCTAGTCAATAGAAAATTTATGATTATCTTGGGGAAGTAAACTCAGGTTGTGTAAGAAACTGGAACTCGGATAGATTCCCCAGAAGTCTCTGGGGCTTTGAGGAATGGGGCTGGTTCCTCTCTTAACATCAAGTTTGAACAACTCTTAGAGGAATGTTCCAGATGTCAGCACAGCTCTTTGAAAGCCTGCTGCCAGCTGTTGGGATAACAAGCAATTGACGATTCTGATTGGTAATAATGTGGTTTTGTGGGTTCTTTTATCTTTCAGTCAATTACAGTTAAAGAATCTTCATGAAGATTTGTCAGGGAGATTAGAGGAAGCCTTGTCAATCATCAATGAAAAAGTACCTTTTAATGATACAAGTAGGTATCACATAGACATAAGTTTTCTGTTATTTGTATCTTTGACTCGCTATGGTAGCTGGTTAAGTAAGATAATTTCTAATCTCAGCAAAAAAACCAAATTGACCTGTTGGAGGGCTCTGCTCTCTTGATCAATGTGGCTCATTTCCTAAGGACATTCTGAATTATCTCCAGAGCCATCCAGTGTGTTCTTTTACTGCACTGCTCACACCCCAAGGCAAAGCCAGCCTGCCTGGGAGGTGGTGGGATATTTGCATAAGAGAAGTTGATCTTTGTGGCTGGGGGGGTCCACCATGGATGTGTCTTTTCAGCCTGTTAACTTCTGCTCCTTGGGGATTTCCCAGTGACAGGAAGCCTTTGGGAAGTCTAGCTTCTGTTTCCTCCTGGGGATGGCCTGGTAGCTCACACATCCAAGAGTATGAAATAGAATTTAGACAGCACTCACATTTGCGGTAGATATCTAACCTTAGGTGAGAACAGAATGAAACTCTTGAAAGCAAAGAACTATTTATCCGGGAGGCCTGAGTTCAGTCCCTGCAACTCCCCAAAGTTGTCTTTTCATCTGCTGTGGCATTCAGGCGCCTGCTCCTACCTGCTTGAAAAAGAAATTAGTTCTTAAAAATTAAAAAAAGATAAATAAAAGAAAATATATTTGGAATTCAAAGCCCACAGTCAAGTTAATACAATCAAATTAATACACACTTTTTTTTTCTACAGTTACATTTGAAATTTGGTTTTTAGTTCCTTTAATTTCTTGTTAGAAAAGCTGGGGAGAGGGTGAAGAAAACAGCAGTTTGATCCCATCTAAAATCAGCATAGGTGGCGCTGAAGAAATGGCTCAGCTGTTGAGAGCACTGGTTGCTTTTCCAGTGCGGACGTAGTAGCGCCTAGCTGTCTGTAACCCTAGTTCCAGGGGATCTGGTGCTGTGGGTGTGCATGTGGTGCACAGTGGGCAGTGAGTTTTGTTCTTTAAAAAAATATAATGCTGGCATGTTCGCAGCCGCTAGTCCAGGCAGAGATGGCTCTAGCCATGCAGGTTCCCCGTGGCTGGCGGGAGTGCATCCAGGACAGGCTGGTCCTGCCATGCGGCCCGGAGAGCAGGCAGGCAGGCTGATAAAAGGCTTACAGGACATAGTAAATAGACGTAAGGCTAAACATAAAGGTAAACATTTATTACTTAAAGAAGAGGGAGAGAAAGAAAGGCAGAAATAGAAAAAGGGGGGGGGAACACGTGTGCACACGCCAAGAGAGGGAACAGAAAAGAAAGAGTTAAGATGGCAACCGGAGGTCAGAAGTGGCTGGGAGTGGGCGTAGCTTGCCCCTTAAAGGGACCAGACCAAAAGACAGTGAGTGTGATTGTTTTCACAACTAGAATTGTTTATGCAGGCGAAACGCACAAACTAAAATCAGCACAGGCCATGTCTGTATCAACAACCCGAACTCCCCCTTGAAAACGATCCCTGTATCCAGCTTCTATACAAGGAACACACAGTGTGAGGAGGCCTCTGCAGGGTCCTCGGTGAGCTCACTATCACAGTGATGGGTAGTGAGGGACTGTGGGAAGAAGTAAGGCAAGCACAGTGAGATTCTTGTTGAAGAATGAAGGATGACAACAAGAATATTAGGAGACTTTGTAAGGAAACTTGAGAGGCCCCAAAGAGGAGTTTGAAAAGATTTCTTTGACATGGGAATCCAGGAGTAGTTTGTTTCTTTTGATCCTGAAATTAAACAAAGAAACAGTTATTACCTACCAGCAAAACCACAGCTTCCCTGTATTTTCCAAGCTCCTCTGCTGTGATTGTATGTTGGACATTGAGTTCTCTTAGGAAGGGTTTTGCAGTTGCTCTCCTTTGAAGACTGAGCTGAGCTCTAATGGGCATCACTTTTGTGTTGTAGAGTATCATCTGTACAATGCTCTCAACGTTCCGCTGCACAACAGAAGACATCAGGTAAAGGAAGAAGTGGGCGTATCTTCTCGGTTTCAGCCGTACATACACTGTCCTAGCAAAGTTTGATATGCTAGTCACTGCTTTGCTCTCTCATCTGTTTCCCTAAACCATATGAGTTGCTTTTATTGAATTCATGCACTACTGATTTTTTTAGATTTTATGTATTTTTTACATTTCTTATTTATTGGGGGAGTGCTCCTATGTGGAAGCCTGAGGGCAACTAGTGGGAGTCTGTTTCCTCCTTCCACTACATAGGTCCTGTGTATAGTTCTCTGATCGCCAGGCTTGGTGGCGTTGGTGGCAAGCACCTTTACCCTGTACTACTTCTGATTATTTTATTAAGACAGGGTCTCACTGTGTAGCCCTGCCTGTCCTGGAACTCACTGTGTAGAACAGGCTGGCTTCAAACTCACAGAGATCCCCCTGCCTCTGCTTCCCAAGTGCTGGGATTAAAGGCGTGCACCACCATACCTGGTAGTACTTCTGATTTTTGGTGTTTTTCTCATTTTATCACATTAGAACTGAACTATGGGATGCCTTGCTGTTTGAACCAGGCTTTTGTGTTAGGGTAGTGTGCTTTTTTTAGCCAAGGCCAAGTGGAGGAGGTGGATCTGCCAAAACCGATGACTTCCTAAGTTAGTTGAATGGAGGACACTGAGATTCGAGTGGGAGCAAATGAGTGTAGACTGAGGAGTGCTCTCACTAGGGTTCAAGTGCTTTCCAACGTTTGCTCGATAGTTGACTGTGTGTGCTTTGCATTTTAAAGCTGAAGATGCGTGATATAGCTGGGCAGGCCCTGGCTTTTGTTCAGGACCTCGTGCCGGCTCTTTTGAACTTTCACACCTACACGGAACAGAGGATTCAGATTTTCCCTGTTGATTCTGCCATTGACGCCATATCACCATTGAATCAGAAGGTGAGTAGTTACGATGCCATCCTTGCCGTGAACAGATGGGGAGAACAAATAGGGACTTCTGTTCAGACTACTTCCCTGTATTAGCCAAGTACCATGGGAGTCATGGAAGAAGTCACAAGTCATGGTCTTCGCCAAAACACAGTATGGCAAATACAGGATGTTAAGAAATTAAAGCTAGGGGAATTATCAGAAGACTGCAGAGTAAGCAGTGGAGGAAGTGATGAGAGAGAGACAGAGAGACAGAGAGACAGAGAGAGCTCACGCAGTCGAGCTAGCTACCAATATGGCCAGTAAGTGTGGAGTCAGCAGGGAGGGGTGTGCCCTGTGAAGAATTGGTGAAGCATCTGGGATTTGGAGCCTTGAAGACTGAGTGAGATTTGGATGCAGGAAGAGGGATGGTGATTGTTTGAGCTCCCAGAAGGAGCTGTCTGAGTGGGAATGTCAGGCAGGACAGCATGGTGGGTGGGCCTGAGCTTTGGGGAAGGATGGGAGGAAGTGCTGAACCAACTTCTGGGCTGGAATGTGAAGCCCCTAGAGTGGGAAATGGGATCAAAGTTAGGAGAGCAAAGTGGCTTCTTCCCCATTGGTTACAAGATTGAGGCCTGCGCAGCTTTTGACAGCGGTTGGCAGGATTCTGTTTCTGTTTTGCAAGGAGGGCTAATTTGCTGGCATGTTTCTGTCTCATCCATAATTGCTCTGTCATTGGTCCAAACAGCCAGTGCAGTCTGCCTGCTCGTTCGTCCGCTGAGGCATCTAGTGGGAAAGGGCGGAGCCAGTTGTGTGGGTCTGTGGGGCTTACCTGTGGATAGAGGATGTAACTTTCTTCAATCCTTCTGCTTCCTTTTGGCCAAAGGATTTTTGCCTCCCTACCCCCCAAAAAAAAGGTAGTTTTTTTTTTTTTTTTTGGTTTTTCGAGACAGGGTTTCTCTGTGGTTTTGGAGCCCGACCTGGAACTAGCTCTTGTAGACCAGGCTGGCCTCGAACTCACCTAGATCTGCCTGCCTCTGCCTCCCGAGTGCTGGGATTAAAAGCGTGCGCCACCACCGCCCGGCCCAGGTAGTTTTTAAAAGGCTTTAAGGACACCTTCAGGGTTTTATTTTTATTATTATTTTGTTTTGTTTTGTTTTGTTATTTTGAGACAAGATTTCTCTGTTTAACAGCCCTGGCTGTCCTGGAACTCTGTAGACCAGGCTAGCCTCTGCCTCTGCCTCTGCTTTCTGAGGCCTGGGATTAAAGGTGTATGACACCATCGCCCTGCGAAAAATTTCATTTAGCTGTAAAACTAAAATGCTAATAAGTATATTCATTTTATATGACTGGACATTAAGCTACCCAGGACTTAGTGGTTTAAAACAGTAGATATTGGCTATCTCCTGGTTTCTGTGATCAGGAATTCCGGGACCAGCTACCTAGGGAGTTTGCAGCTCCTGCCATCTTCTAGGATTACACTCACGGTGTCACTGGGGCTGCATCCATCTGAAGGCCTCACTGGCTGAGGGGGCTACTTCTGAGGTGGCTCAGATTTATTTACTCACATGCCTGGTAAATTAGTGCTGGCTGGTGCCAAGGAGCCTGTTGCTCATGTGCTCTTCTCTCTAGGGACACGACATTCTCATGACACGACACCTAACGTCCCTTAGAGAGCTTGGCTCAAAAGACGTGGAAGCCATAGTCTTTTGGGACACTTGGCTAGTCCCATTTGTCATGCCTGTTGTGTTATTAGTCACACAGACTAACCCTGAAACAATATGAGTGGGTAGCATTCAAAGGCAAGAATACGTGGTCCTCATTGAGGTAAACTTGAAGGCCAGCTCACATACAAGGGAAGCTGAAGGATCTTGCTACAGATGTGTCCTCTGAGAGCTTGATAATGTGATCAGCCTTGCTTTTCTACTTAGTCTGACTCTTCCTAGCTTGTTTGCCTTATTTATTTATTTAGTCATCCATTCATTCATTTACATAGTGTAATATTTCTAGGGGTTGGATATAGTCATGTCTGCAGATATCCAAAGTGCCTAGTAGGTAGCAAAGACTTGGACCCTGAAGTTGGACTTCTTGACACATGTTTTAGCTGCGCCCCCTTGGGAGATTTATTTACTCTCTCTGCTTTGAATTAGAGAGGGACTTGCCCATGTCACAGATGTATACAGGTAACATAAGCGTGCCAGTGCCTGGCACGCACTAAGCACTCGGCAGAAGTTAGCCATTGCCGTTCTCATGCCTCAGTAGTGCTTGATTTTCATCAGTTTTAGTGCTGCACGAATCTATTGAGCCTCATAAAAATAACTTTTTTTTCTTTTTTTGTCCAAGACAGGATTTCTCTGTGTAACAGTCTGGACTATCCTGGAGCTCACTTTATAGACCAGGCCAGCCTTGAACTCATAGAGATCTGCCTGCTTCTGACTCCTGAGTGCTAGGATTAAAGGCATGAGCCACTACTGCCCGGCAAAAATAACTCTTATAATTTTAATTTGTCCAGAACACATCATTATTTTATAGGATTCGTGTATTTCTTAGTATTTCATCTTCAGTACTTTGGCCTGTAAAAGTCCCTCTGATTTTTCTACAAAGTCTATAATATTGAAGACTTGGAAACATTTTACTGAAAGATGGCCAAGATGTGTAAACTGTTTCTGGACTCTTAAAGTAACTGGGAACTCCTACTCTACAGCCGTGGACAGTGGAGCCCAGAGTGCTTGAACTGTGCATGACAGTAATACTGTGCAGTGTCCATGGGGTCACCTGCATTTTGTAGAAGCCAGGACAGTACATGTTTATATGCAGAAGTTCAGACTTGAGTCATTGTGAAATACCTTGATGACTGAGACATTTCATAAATGCATCTTATTTCCTTTGCTTCTAAATTGTCTAGAATATAGTGGGATCCCCACCCCCAATGATGGGATTACTGCCCACCATCACTACACAGGCCAGGCACACACTGTAGCTCTGGGCTATAGCCACAGCATCTGTTTGCATACTGTGACATCAGTGATGATAGTGAACATTTTCACTCACCTTGCTGATATCCCTGGCATCTGCTAACCCTGAGCTGTGTGTACAGTAAAACACGAAGCTGCCTAGTGGGCTTGTTTTGAAAACTGAGGTGCATAGTACAAAGTCTGCCTAACCTTTTTGCTTTTTTCTCACTGGGACCCCTGCAAAGCAGCCTGTGTCCAGGGACCCTGGCCCACTGCTTTCTTCATGGCTGGGCTGGCTGTATCCTCACTTCCTCACCTGCCTGGTTGGTCATTGTGTTATCTGCTTCCTTGATTCGGATAGCCATGGGCACTGGGGAATTTTATCTGGGGTTTTCCAGAAATGTGTTCAGAAGAGTTTCAGTGTGACGTCAGAGTCCCTCTCCCAAGTGCTGGCACTTATTTTTCATCGAATTCATTCAAAGCTTCTACTCCTATGCAGTTCTCTCAACACCTTCATGAAAATGCGTCCTACGTCCGCCCCCTTGAGGAAGGAATGCTGCATTTATTCGAGAGTATAACTGAAGATACTGTGACTGTCCTGGTAATTTTCCTCCTTGTGGTTTTCCTTTTGCCTTTTTTTTAAAACTATGGGGAAGCGTGGGCTCTCATTGTCCGGTAGCACTTTTAACTGTGGAATGATCTTTATCCAGGAGACAACTGTGAAATTGAAGCCGTTTTCAGATCACTTAGCTTCCTACATCCGCTTTCTTAGGAAGATCCTTCCTTACCAGTTAAAAAGGTATTTATTCCCTGGAGGCCAGGGATCTTGGGGTGTTGGGGTGGGACCCGACTTGTTCTGAAGTTAATCAAAGAGTAACAGGCGTCTCGTGTCTGTGTGGATCGGCTGCAGCCTGGCTGATAACTCAGTCAGCTATGGTTTTCAGCGGCCCTCTAGTCTGCATAAGGTCATAATCAGTGTTTTCAGTAATTGGGAATGACACTTTTTTTTTCTTTTAAGAAACATGGTTTTGGGTTTTTTTTTAAATTCCTTTGTTTTTAATGTCTAGATGGGAGATAGAATATTTAACTTCTACCTTTGAGTCATAATCCTTGGGTATCCTTAGAATGTTATCTTTTTATTATTGGAAACTTATTTAAATTATAAAATAAAGTCTTTATCTGCTCTGGATCTTCTAGGCTGTGTCATTCTGAAACTTCTAATACTTCACTTAAATAATTAGCATTAATATTTTTAATTCCACCTTACATTTCTAGAAAGGCATAAAAGTGTACTAGAAAGTTGATAGAATTGCTTGGAAGTTTTCATACTGTTTATTTTGAGACAAGTTCTCACTACTAGTCTTGGCTAGCCTAGAGCTTGCTATGCAAATCAGGCTGACCTTGAATTTATAGAGACCTGCCTGCCTCACCTCCTGAGTGCTGGGATTAAAAGGTACACATGTGCCTTTCTATGATTTTATTTTAGAGCGTTTGCTAAATCCTTCTCTTGGTGGCAAATGCCCTTACTTGCTGAGCTATCTTGCTGGCCCGACTTTTTCCAGATTGTCACTGTGACCAGCTGGCCCGCTCTGTAGAGGGACGAGAGCAGGTCGAGTAGAGAGGAGACAGGGACCGGAGGGTGTAGATGGAGTCCTCTTCTCTGTGTTAACTTCTCTAGGTTTGTTCTGATTTGTTTTGAGGGTGAGAACAGAGTTTGGCTAGCACAGGCTCACCTGAAGCTCTTCATCCCGCCTCAGCCTTTGATAGTGGGATTGCAGGCACACCACCATGCTTGACATTTTTCTAGTTTTGTATGGACCTTTTTACTTGATTACTACTTATTAAATAAACACTATTACGAGTCCTCATTTTTAAACTTTATAGTTAAGGTACCTATTTAAAGTTGAAAACGGTAAAATATATTTCGTGATAGTATATATTTTTTAACTTTTTGTTTATTTTTGTTTTATTTGCATTAATGTTTGGCCTGAATGTATGTCTTGTGAAAGTGTTGAGTCTCCTGGAACTGGGATTATAGGCAGCCGTGAGCTGCCATGTGGGTGCTGGGAATTGAACCCCAGTCCTCTGGAAGAGCAGCCTGTGCTCTTAACTGCTGAGCCAGCTCTCCAGTCCCATTTTGTGATAACATCAATCTAGTATTTGTTTTTAAATTTGAGCCTATGTAGCACCAATGCCAATTTTTGTTTAATTAATCCTCTTTAGGGATTCAGTTAAATAGAATGTCTCCTATAAATAGTGTGGGTTTTCCCAGCAAAGGTTCTGTGTTGAGAACTGAACTGCCCAGCTCACTCATGTGGAGCCGAAGATTCTCAGGTCCACATGCCCATGCTCCAGCCACTCCACCTGACCCTGGCTCACCAGCCAGTCTTGTCCCTGCTGTGAATGCTACAGAGCTGGCCCCTTCTTCACAGCTTCTCTTGGAGTTATGTTGTTTTGTTCCCAGTCCTCATCCAAATCCACAGGGAAATGGGACAGTTTTGCTTTTGTTTCTTGGAACTATTTGACTTTAAGAGTCTTGTGAGAAGCCTCAGTGAGACAAGCGTGCCTATTTAAAAAATTTTTAATATGATCCAGAGATATTGCTCAGTAGGTAAAGTTTGGGGTTTTCAAGACAGGGTTTCTCTGTAGCTTTGGAGCCTGTCATGAACCAACTCAAGTTCATGCCTGGTCAAGTTCAAGACCAGGCTGTCCTTGAACTCACAGAGATCTACCTGCCTCTGCCTCCCGAATGCAAGGATTAAAGGTGTGTGCCACCACTGCCTGGCTACCATGAAAATATTTTTAATACTTAAAAATATATTACTTTCATTCTGGAGAGAGTGGTTAAGGGCACATTCTATTCTTCCAGAGCTCTTGGGTGGATTTTAGCATCCATATGGCAGCTCACAGCCATCTGTAACTCCAGCTCCAGGGAATACAATGCCCTCTTCTGGCCTCCTCAGGAACCAGACACACAAATGGTGCACAGACATATATGCAAGCAAAATATTTAGACAAATAAAAAATTATATATATAAAATATATAAGCACATATGTAAAACATTTAGACAAGTAAAAAGTTTTATATATACAAAACATTTAGACACAAAAGATAAATCTTTTATTTAAAAAAATAAAAAGGAAAAGAAAGTCATCTAGGATGCTCACTTTTGAAACCCTCCGTTCCTAGTTTAGAAGAAGAATGTGAATCGTCCCTTTGCACACCTGCATTGAGAGCCAGGAACCTGGAGCTGTCCCAGGATATGAAGCGAATGACGGCCGTGTTCGAGAAGCTGCAGACATACGTCACTCTTCTCGCCCTGCCGAGTAAGTAAGACTTATGACTTATGACTCACCTTGAGGGATGCAAGAGGACAAGAAGCTGGAAAAGGGATGTGGCTTAGCTTGGGAGAATGGGCAAGGCTGGAATCAGAATCTTGAATTCAGTGAGCAGAGTTAATGAAATTAAGGAGTAAATGAGGGTGAATGTTGTGTTATGAAGTTAAGGTAAAATATTTGTCATTAACTATGCATTAAGTAGTAATTCCCCTTCTCTTTTTTAAGTGTAGAAAGGTGAATGATGACTGTTCATGAGGCGAACATAATAACCACTTCACTGTGGAAACTGCAGGGGGCATCTCAGCTTTTGTTAGCAGCCACAGCCTATGAGACCTTTTAAAGATGCCCATTGTTTCCCTTTTGCCCAATTAGAGAAGAGTACTGAAGAAACTGAGTGAACCTCATTGTTAATGTTTTGAAGAAATCCATGGTTTTATCTAGGCATAGTGGCACATATCTGTGTTCTCAGGACTTGGGAAGCTGAGACAGAAGTATCTTAATTTTAAGGCCAGCCTGTGCTGTAAAGAAAGGGAGCGAGGGAGGGGAAGGAGAGAGGGAGGGAAGAAGGGAGGGAGAAAGGAAGAAGGAAGGAAACGTCTTTTATGACATATAAATGACACCATAAAAAGTGCTTTGTTTTTGTCTTTTTATTCTCTCAATTGTCTGCTGTACACCTTGCCCATTTAGATCCCAGTCCTGTAGCCTTCAGTATACCCCTGATGTGTACCTGCAGTGCAGTCCTGTAGCCTTCAGTATACCCCTGATGTGTACCTCCAGTGCAGCCCTTTCTAAGCCATTTCCCTCAGCCGAGGAAACCCTTTCTTCTTTGGCTGTTGCTTCCTGTTCTGCCATTCCTCCTGTCTCTAGCCCTCAGCTGCTCCTTCTCTATTTTCTGTCTTCAGATTTACCAGTTTCAGATTCATAAATGGTGGAACCATTGTATGTAGTTTGGTTTGTTTGCTTACTTTCTTGTAATAAAGCTTACAAGATTGATGCAAAATACAGCTTGTATCCATATTCCATTCTTTTTATTACAGAATACTATTCCATTGTTTAGATGTACCAAATACGTGTATATCCATCAAAAATTTGGATTGTTTGACTATTAAGAATAATGATGCTGCAGGTATTAATGTCTAAGTTCTTATGTGGACTTACCTTTTCATTCCTTTGGGCCTGGTGGCACCCTCTGCCTGGTAGACTTGCTTAATCCTAAGGTAGCCATGTTTAACTGCTGGAGGATTTACCAAGACTGTTTTCCAAGGCACTGCTTTGCTTTCCAGCTAGCTATGTGTGAGAGTTAAATTTTCCATGTCCCCAATAACGTTTGTTATCACAGGACTTTGATTTTAGCCATACTAGTGGCTTTGAAGTAGATAGACTGTGTTTGATTTGCCCTTCCCTGCTGTCCAGCTGTGCCAGATGCCCCTTGATCTGTTTATTGGCCACTTGTTTATTTCCTTTAGTGAAGAATCTGCTTGGATCGCTTCTTCATTTTCAGTTGGGCTGTTTGTCTTCTTATTGTTGAGTTATAAATAATAGTTCTCCGTACGTTCCACTGTCAAGTCCCTTGTTGAAGCTATGATTTACTGATTTTTCTTCTACTTTGTTTTCACTTTGTCTAAAACTTCTGGAAGCACAGAAATTTTTACCTTTGACGAAACTCAATGATCAGTTTAACTGTTACTTTCTTTCTCTTGAGGGGTGTCATGCTTTTTATTCATATATAAAAACCCAAAGTTATAAAGATGTGTTTTTTTCTAAGAGTTTTACAGTTTTATTGTTGCTTTCAGGTCTGTGATCCATTTTGAGTTCATTTGTGTGCGTGGAGCAAGGTGAGGGCTGGTTCATGTGGCTGCCAGCACCTTAGCTCCATCCTTAGTTCTTTCTGTTAAATGGTCTCGCACTCTCCTTGAAAGCCAGTTGACCACATGTGTATGAGTTTGCTTGTGAACTCCAGTGTTGCTCTCGGGTCTGCCTGTGCCAGTCACACCCCATTTGATGACTGTTGCTTTGTAGTAAGTTTTGAGACCAGGAAGCATGAATCCCCCCTTTCTTTTTTTCCAAGATTATTTTGGTTTTTCAGGATTCCTTTATATGAACTGTAGCATCAGCTTGTTAGTTTCTACAATGTAAATTTCTTATTTGTGGTACTTTGTTACAGTAGCCCCAGGAAACATACAGAGAGCATCACCAGCTTATGTGTTCTGATCCATGAATGAATATGGTATTTCTTTAAGCAGTGTAGTTCTCAGAGCTGAGGCTTACATATTCATGCTATTTCTCAGGCCTCAACCTGGGGCATGTGCAGTCACACAGATGACAATGGCACTGGGGTGAAGGGTTCTCCTTCACGCTCTCCTTCTCTACTCAGATCCTGGCTTAAGCTCCTCTCATTGCTGGATAATTGCTCTGGACTTTTCTGAAGACCTTGGGGCATGCATCGCCCGCAGACTGATTGCATTAAATATAGACTCCTTTAGAGTGATAACATTTAACTAGCTGGTAGTATTTTTGAGGTTAGTGTTTGTAACTTCTGACCCCAGGAGGGCTCTTTGTTTTCACAGCCTATTGTTTAGTTATGAATTGGCCACTTTCTTCTGTGCTTTCGCTAGTTTCTTCTTTCTTCTTGAGAGTCACAGCTCAAACTTCTCTGTGTAGTGCAAGTGAAATCCTTTCCCTTGAGAACAAAAAGCCTCAGAACCAAGGCTGCTTCTGTCTAGAGTTCAGTCTCAGAGCCACGGTCTGCCCGTGTGTTGGGGACAGTTGTATCACAGCCACACCAGGTCTTTTTGACTTGCCTCTTTCAGCGTGGAACTCGCGTTGATAAGCCAAGGCAGTGGAGGAGGAGCACATGTTCTCAGCAGCGCTTACTCAAGGCAGAGACTCGGTCTCCGAGGTGGGGCATAGGTGAGGGAAGGAACCCTTCCCCACTTCTTGGCCATACTTGACCAGTACTTAGCCTCAGCAGCCAGTGTCTGGGAGACAGGAGAGGGACGCTGTGTGCTGGGCTGTGTCTGTTGGGAGTGGGGTTTCTGTTGCACTGAGCTAAACGAGGGGATGACTTGGCTCGCTTATCAGACTTGTGTGGTTCCTTCTGAGTTGTTACTGATTTTCCTTTCTCTTTTTGGTTTTTTGAGACAGGGTTTCTCTGTGTAGCTTTGGAGCCTGTCCTGGAACTCACTCTGTAGACCAGGATGGCCTCAAACTCACAGAGACCTGCCTGCCTCTGCCTCCTGGGTGCTGGGATTAAAGGCCTGCGCCACCACTGCCCAGCTCTGATTTTCTCTTTTATTGTGTGTGTGAGTTCAGTGTAGTGTGTGTGTGTGTGTGTGCGTGTGTGCGTGTGTGCGTGTGTGCGTGTGTGCGTGTGTGCGTGTGCATACACATACATGTACAGGATGTGTGTAGTTACGTATTTGTGTTTGTAGGATGAGGTGTAAGCATGTTTCTGCCACACTGTGTGGAGATCAGAAAACAACTTGTGGGAATCGTTTTCTGCACTCTCAGGGATTCAGGGACCAAGCTCAGGCCTTCAGGCTTAACAGCGGTGCCTTCACCTGCTGACCCGTTTAACTGGTCTTCTTTTGACTTCTTAATCATTAAAATGTGTGCTTGGGAGATGCATATATGTTAAATGTGCCTGTATTCATTACCACCATTTGTGACTGTACCTGCAAAGGTTTGGGAAGCCATTATTTCAGACATAAGCAAACTTCATTCTCTGTGGCCCCCAGAACAGAGGGAGAAGATAAGCAGTTAGCTTTCCGGAGAAATGCTCATATGGCTTGTAACTGGCTTTTCTAGGTACAGAGCCGGATGGGCTCCTTCGGACAAACTACACTTCCGTCTTAACAAATGTTGGCGCTGCTCTGCATGGGTTTCATGATGTCATGAAAGGTGAGCCTTGAACCAGAACCTGTGTCCGTGGAAACCTTCCTTTTCAGCTCTGCCTGCCAAGGGTTACAGACCCCAGAAAGGCTAAGCAGCCTTGGGCTTACGTGGAAGTGCACAACCTCGGCCTTCTGCTCTGCCATCTGCTTCACTCTGAAAGAGAGAACCCCCATGCTCAGTGCTTCACAGGATTTGACATGGGGTGTGGGCTGGACCGTACCAGATGTGCTATTTAGGGACACTCATCAAAATTTGCCACACTTTCAGGACTCAAGCACGAAGGGTTAAGGATACGGAGAAAGAGTGCACTCGAGCACCACTGTCCTGTGAGTGCTTGCTCATCATCTGTTTGAGACAGTCTCACTGCAGCATCGGCCTGGTGCTCTGTGTAGTTCAGGTCAGCCTGTGTTCTTCCTGCCTCTGCCTCTGGAATGCCGGGCTGCAGTCGTGTACACCTGCCCAGTGTTTCCTGAGCGTCCTCTTGCTGTGTTGCTTGGTGCTGGGGATTGAACCCAGAAACTTGTACATGGTATTTAAGTGTTCTAACACTAAGCCACATTCCAAGCTCCTATTTTGGTATTTAAAAGACCTGTTTTAAATCTGGTCTTGTTGAGCATAACTTTAAGAACTAAAAATCTCAGGAATAGTGCTTTAATTCCAGCACTAAAAATAGAGGCAGGAGGATCTGAGTTCTAAAATATAAATAAATATCTATTTTTAAAGTCTTGCTCAGTTTTTATTTGGTTCTGGGCTAAATAGTTGACTAAAGGGTTAGGGAAAGCACTTTTTTATTTTTATTTTTTTATTTTTTTAGGTTTTTTTGAGACAGGGTTTCTCTGTTTAGCCTTGGCAGCCCTGGAACTCACTCTGTAGACCAGACTGGTCTCAAACTCACAGAGATCCGCCTGCCTCTGTCTCCTAATCCTTTTAAGGCTTTCTTATCGCTTCTTGAGTGCTTCTGAGTTGTAATCAGTCCATAGCTCTTTGTTGCTTCTTGATGCCCTATCCCCTCCTCCTCTTCCCTTTTGAACTGTGGGGAGGGGGCAGATGCAGGAGCTGTTTGAAAGGCATCAGCTCAGGTGTCTGGAGGGGGCATTGCACTGTTGATGGCTATGACTATTTTTATAGTAAATAATTTTTTAAAATATAAAAGTGTTTTGTATAATATGTAAGAGACATGATTAATATCCTCCTCAAGTTTGGCATGTCATACTAGCCTTACTTTATTTATATTGCTATTCTAACTCAGCAGTTACATCCTAAAGACCCTAAAAAGCTTTAAAATCATTAGCATGCTTTGTTTGTACATTTTCTGAGAGTCAAGATGATGCTGAGTGGTCCAGAACAAAGCACGTCATTTTTCTTGTTTGGCAAGAGCCAATAGAGATTGTGGGAGAGTTGGGGCCTTCTTGGCTCCTTGGTGCGGCCACTTGTTTCTTTTCTTTTTATTTGTTTCACTTTTTTTTTTTTTACTTTAGTGTACCAAATAATAAGTTCCATTATGAAATTTTCAAGCTTGTTTCTACTCTTGAGAATGAACATAAAAAAGAAAAGTGAACAACATGAAGGAACAAGCAGTCTCTGCCTCCAATGCTGGGAAGTGGTTATAAAGCTGGGGTTACAGTTTCTTCTCTTTACCGTGCTTGGAAGAGGGTTGTGTCACAAGACTGCAGAGTACATATTAACAGGCATTAGCAGAAGCATCTTTTTGTTTTTGTTTAGGTGTTTTTATTCATTTTATTTTGGTCAGAGGTGTCTCCCGCAGCCTAGGTTGGCTTCAAATTTGTGACCCTGCCTCATCCTCCTGAGTATGGAGTTACAGTCCTGTGTTACAATGCCTGGTGGAACCTTGTTTTGTTTTGTTTTTTTAAAGATTTATTTATCTATTATATATACAGTGTTCTGTCTGCATGCCAGAAGAGGGCATTAGATTATTATGGATAGTTGTGAGCCACCATGTGGTTGCTGGGAATTGAATTCAGACTTCTGGAAGAGCAGCCAGTAATTTTAACCTCTGAGCCTTTTCTCCAGCCCCTGGAACCTTGTTTTTTTTTTTTTTTTTTTTTTTTTTTTTTAAGATACCTTTTGTTGCAACTCTCTACCTTCCTGCTTTTTCAGGAATTGTAAGTTCTTGATCTAATTTGAACACAGGGAGGAAAGTCCAGAAGTTTGGTTGTTAGTGTAAAAAGAAAGCACGGGAGCTGTCTTAGTCAGGGTTTTATTGCAGTGAAGAGACACCATGGGACCGTAGCAACTCTTATAAAGGAGAACATTTAATTGGGACCAGCTTAAAGTTTCAGAGGGTCAGTCCATTATCGTCATGGTGGGACATGGCAGCACGCAGGCAGACATGGTGCTGGAGCTGAGAGCTCTACATCTTGATCTGCAGGCAGCAGGAAGTGGAGACCCTGGGTGTGGCTTGAGCTTATGTAAACCCTCAAAATCCACCTGTACAGTGACACACTTCCTCCAACAGGGCCACGCCTCCTGATAGTGCCACTCCCTTTGGGGGTCATTTTCTTTCAAACTTTTCTTTAAAAAGGAGTTCTCAAAATGTGCTTTGTTTTTTAATGTGGAATTAAAATGTAACTGAGGACTGGCTCGATGAGTCTGCGGGTGGAAGTGTACATCCCAGAAATGACCCGTGAGCTCGATTGCTAGGATCCACGTGGTAACAGGAGAGAGCTGACTACTGTTTCAGGCCATCACCTGATCTCCACATACATCATACGTGCTGTGCCCCCCCCCACACCCCCACACACATACCCACACACCCCACTTCCTGTTCACTTTGTGACCAGCTGATGCAGCGCAGTCTTGATACATGGTATCATTGCTTTCAAATGCACTTAATAAACTGGAAGTCTGGCTGTGAGAATGGAGCAGACTGGCTAGCTGTAAACAACCTGTATGTGAATAGTAGTGTTTGCATCTCACTGTTGTTTTTTTCATAGACATTTCCAAACACTATAGTCAGAAGGCATCCATAGAGCATGAACTTCCAACAGCAGCACAGAAGCTGGTAACGACGAACGACTGCATCCTGTCCTCAGCAGTGGCGCTAACAAACGGAGCCGGGAAGGTAACTGTGCTCGGCTAATCCAGACTTAAGTTCAGCTCTTTAATGTGCTCCTATGAAAGGATTGTGGACTGTAAGGTCTGTGTGTGTGTGTGGCAGAGAGGACTCTAGGACTGAACCAGGGCCCTGTGCACGGTAGGCAGACAGTCCCCAGACCTTAAGGTCTTGCCTGTTTGTCTTTCTTTCTTTTTCTTTTTTTAAACAGCGTCTTACTTTTCTTCTGTTACCCAATGCTTCCCCCCAGTTCAGTTGAATCATCTATACAGTGTTTAAAATACTGTGGTAGCAACTGTTCAACATTGTGGTGAATAAGTAGGTCACTCACTGCTTTTCTAAACCATCCAAAGTATTTTTCAATTTTTTACTTTATATACAAAGTAGTGGGTTTTGTTAAGGTATTTCTTACACGTCTGTCATTGTGCTTTGCTTGTTTGTACCCCAACTCCCCTCTTACCCGTCCTCCTTCCCCCCATTGGTGTCCTCCCTCTCCCTGAATACTTCTCTATGACTTTCTCGATACACACAAATAAACACACACACAATTTGTAACCCAAGATTTTGAGTACTAATTTATAAAAGAGAAGGTTTATTATTTTTATTTGGCGGGTAGTGTTCATGCTGTGCACAGCTGGGAAGGTCAGCGTGAGTAAGGCTTCCCTTCTGCTGTCTGGACCCTGCAGGTTGAACTCAGGTTGTCAGGCCTGGTAGTGAACCCTTCACCCCAATCCATGTCCCTAGCCTAAGCACTGATTTTATTTACACTACCTGTATTTGATAGTTTGCATATCTGTGACCAAATGGATTGAAAGAAACAAATGGAGAGGAGTTTGTTTTTTTCATTACTTCTCTTATTTTTGAGATTATAATATAATTATATCACTTTTCTCTTCTGGTTCCTCCCGCCAAACCCTTTTTATACTACTCTTTGCTCTCTTTCACATTCATGGCCTCATTTTCCCACTAATTATTGATACATGCATATATATCCATAAGTATAACCTGCTAATAAAGTAGAATAAGGTAGAAAAGACCAATTAATAGATACTGACTTATTGATTTATTTAGTAGTTACAAAAGTACTACAGTACTGCTTGTACTGCCCTTTCTCCAAGTGTGACTTCACCTGCTGTGTAGAACAGAGTGACCTGGAGAAATCGCTGAAACAATGGGTGGTTGTCCTTAACAACCTGCTGACAGCCGTGTGTTCTTCTGTGAAAACTGTCCACTTTGTGGTGTTTAGAGTATAAAATGGAAATGCAAACTAGACTTGGCACTGAAGCCTGTCAGGAACTGTCCTGGCTTCTGACTGCCAGTGACATCTCATCTCTCAGGGTCCTTATTGCAGGAAGATTCCCACAGCACTCAGTCTGTATAGCGCTACTCATACGTGTGTTCAGGGCTGACTGTTTGGGGTTGGATGACCAACTGGTGTGCTCTTCCCTGGGGAGGACCATTTCTCCCCCTCTCAGCATTCCTTAGTTGTCTGGAGTTCTTTGTGTATGGTTGAGGCCTCTTGGTCTTTCCCCTGTCCACTTTGGACTGTATACACTTTGTTACTGTATTTGCCTCTTGGTTTGAGGTGATACATCTTCCATCGTGGGGAAGGCGTGGCGGATCCGTGGCAGTGAGGCATGTGGAAGGCACGTGGAACTGGTGATGTGACATTTGCAGTCAGGAGGCAGGAGACCTGCAGGGACTAGCAGGGGTGTTACCGTGAGGCCCTCCCCAGGGCTGCTTCCTCTAATAAGACCCCATACCCTGAAGGTTCTACATCCTCTCCCAGTACTGCCAGCTGTTGCTAAATGTTCAATCACATGGGCCATCTAGTAGATAAGCTTGAGGTTTACTTGATGCTGTAAAAGGTTAATAAAAAATAAAACCTGAGACAACTAGAGTTTGGTTGCTTAGTTTTGAGCAATGCTTGTCAAGTTAGAACACTCAAAAATCGCATACTTACCAAGATTAAACACCTGCTAGTGTACCCAGGACTTCTTTTTGTAGCAAGGATATTTAGTCAGGCATTTTCTTTATATCACCACTTCATAGAGCACTGCTAAGTTCAAAATCTATGGCTCAGCAAAATTGCTGTCATGGTTCTTTGTAGCTGTTACATAGACTTTTTAATAATGCTACATCTGGAATGACAAGGATCTGCATTTTTAGTCTTGTTTTCTGTTCTGTTTATGATTAACAAGTTAAGATTTTACACAACTAAGTTTAGATAGATTATGTATTTCAGATGCTCATGTCATATCTCTTCTGTTGGAATAGGAGATATTCAAAGCTAACGTTAAGAAAAAACCCACAAAGATGACTTGAGATCAGTACAGAAGTTATAGTTCATAAGAAACACCTCCAGGTGGGCATGGCACACCCCTTTAATTCCAACACTTTGAGGACAGAAGCAGGTGGATCTCTGTGAGGTCAAGTCTGGCCTGGTCTATATAGTGAGTTCTAGGCCACCCAAAACTACATAGTGAGAACCTGTCTCTAAAAAGAAAGCCGGTCAGTCACTTACCGAGGAACAGGAAGTAAACAGAGAGGGCATGTCTGAAGTCATCTTGTGTTTACTGGTGTCTTCTTTGTATCACAAATTGTGACGGTATTCCCAAATAAATAGGTTCAGGCTTTGGGCAGGTGTTGAAACTGCTCTGAGCGATTTTCTTAGTCACGATCAGATTGCTGTGATGAAGCACCATGGCAACTTAGGAAGCATTTCACTGGGGGTGTACTTACAGTTTCAGAGTCCGTGATCATCATGGTGGGGAACTTGGTGGCAGGCAGTCAGGTGTGGTGCTGGAGCAATAGCTGAGAGCTTACATCTGAGCCGAAAGTTGTAGGTAGAGACTGGGCCTGGCACAGACTTTGGAAACCTCAAAGCCACACCTGGTGACACTTCTCCTCCAACAAGTCCACACTTCTCCAACAGGGCCAAACCTCTTCATCCTTCCCAAATGGTTCCACTAACTGGGACCAAACATTCACACATATGAACCTGTGTGGGCCATTCTCATTTGAACCATTGCAGAACTGTTAGGTGTATATGTTAGATCACTGTTGGAAAATGGAATGTTTTCTTGTCATGCTGTGTCTAGATTGCATCTTTCTTCAGCAACAACGTGGACTATTTCATTGCTTCACTGAGCTATGGGCCCAAGACAGCCAGTGGATTCATTAGTCCCCTTTCAGCTGAGTGCATGCTCCAGTACAAGAAGAAAGCTGCTGCCTATATGAAGGCTTTGAGAAAGGTTGGTGTGCTGCTGCTAATAGTCGTTCATGTACTTAATTTACCTTTTTGCATCTTGTGTGGACTGGTGCACCACTGCATGTATGTCTTTTTCTGTTTTCCTTTTGGGACACTGGAAGCATTCACAGACTTTCAATCAGCAATTCCCTTCTGGTGAATCAGTCATAAAGACATGTTAAACTCTGGGGTCCCAGAATACCTGGCACATGGCTAGGGCTGCCCCCAGAAGAGATGGAGCAGGAGAACTATAAACGCACAAACTTGGTGGCTTTTAGCATTCGGCTTCTTAGTGGTCTACACATGTGCCTGAAAGATGTTTGCAGGGGCTGCGACGGTGTTACTTTAATGGTGAAAGTCAGAATTGGCCTCTCAGTGCTCATCAGTCAAAGGAAACCTAAATGAACCACGAAGCAGCCATAGTCTAAAGCTCTATGCTTCATTCAAACAGCAGTACAGTGGGCACCACATACAAGTGACAGACAGATCCCTAAAATATTCTGAATGCAAAAAGCAAATTGTACAGTGAAACTTAGGTTTAAGAAAATAACGACAAGGAATTCTATACAATGTGCATAGATTTATTGAAATGTTTATAAATGGCAAGGGGCCCAGGCATACATAGCAAGCTGATACTTATGATTACCCCTGAATTGAGTCTGAGATTAGGGATAATTTACCTGGAGTGTTCTGCTTTAATAATGTTTATATGTATCTTGTAGATGGAACTCTAAAACACAAACTGTACTCACTACATGTGGCATTGCATACAACAGTGAAAACCAGGCGAGAGCCTATACACTCACCAGCAGTGAAATGGCTAAACCATTACACATTCATAGAATGAAATACCAGAGAGACAATAGAATAATGACCATCAGGTAGGGATAGTGGCTCATGCCTGCAATCATTAATAGTGGTTTATAGCATACATATGTATTATATGTGTACGTCTGTGGACTATACACAATGCATTAGGAGGTGACAGCTTCTAAAAGAATATATTCAAGCAGAGATGCGTTTGGTTTCACAGTCTATGCACATGTACTACAGTCAGGTTTTTGCATTTAGACATAGTCTAACAGAGGGAAGAGTCACATGAGTGGTAAGATTGAGAGTAAAATAATGTATTCCTGCATTTTCTGATTTTTTTCAGTGACCACATATTGTTACCGTATTTAAAAGAAATTATAAATATATTTCATTTTTTCTACTGCAAGTTCAGTGTTTCAGACTACACTTAGGACTGTCACTTGTTTATACAAAAGCTCAGTATTTGTGTGGTTTAGAGAGCGGTTTCTTACAGTTGTCTTAATGTGCATGTCTTGTTGACTAGTCAGGTAGGGTAGCTTTCCATGGTTGTCATTCATTTTACCTGCTGTCTGTTGAAGCTGTCTATTAAAATAAATATTTCTGGCTAGAATCGAAAGAGTTCCCTATTAGTAAGAATGTTAAGGAATATTTTAAATTTATTCTTTGACAGTTTCTTACATATATGTGATGTGTCAAGGACAAGTCCATTACTGCCTCTCCTGGATACCATATATTAAGAATTTTAATTGTGTTTATATAGAAAATATTTTCTACCATTTTGGTATGGTATTTTTTTAGAATAGAAAATTTAAAATTTTGCATATTTTGAATGGGTGCAAGTGGGAGCAGTGTGCACATGCAATGGCATGTATGTAGAACTTTAGGGATGACCTGAGGAGTGTTCTCCCTCCACCATGTAGGTCCCTGGGATCGAACTCAGGTTGTCAGCTTTGATAGCAGGTGCCTTTGCCCGCTGAGCCAGTCACTACCCTACAAGTTTCGATCTTTATATTGTTTGTCATTCAACAGGTCTTTTTCCTGTTTTTTGTCTTTGTTTTATTTTAATTCCTTTTTTCTTTTTTTCCCCAGTAGATCTTTTTCTTTTGTTGTAGTCATTATCAGCCAAAGCCCTTTTCTCAAGATTATAGAAACATATTTTCTTCAAATATTTTTTAAATGTTTTTTATCTGAGTTTGTTTCATCTCAAATTGGTCATGATTAATGTGGAAGAAGCAGGTGTGGAAGAAGCACCTGCTCTTTTTCTGACCATCAGATGATGTTCAGAGACTGTGCTACCTTGCTTTCTTCACTGAGCAGATTCCCGTGTGCATTGTCTGCCTCTGCGTGTTCTGTCCTGCCTCCACCGTGCTTTGGAACAAGTGCATGGTTTGAGTTGGAGAGGGGTGCAGTTGCTGTGAAAAATGTCCTCACTCTGTTCTCCTTTTCACACGTAATAAAGGTGTTTCTTTTCACACATAATAAATGGTTTGTGTTGGCAAGCTTCTTGGTCTGTGATCACACCCTACTCAGCATTCTTGTTTTGTGTGAAGGACTCTTTAATGACTTCTGTGTTTTCGTCCCCAGCCTCTTGCAGACTCTGTGCCTTACTGGGAAGCAGTGGCAAACCGCCGGGTTCTTCTCAGCTCCACTGAGAGTCGGGAAGGCCTTGCACAGCAGGTATGGCGCCGGGAACAGCATGTAGTTTGGTAAAAAGCAGAAGTGGATGGTTTGTAAGGTATCTAGAGTAAAGAGTAGCCCATCAAGGCGTCAGAAGTGAAGTGTCGGTGTGTGACACTTAAGACACGACTGTCTCCTACAGAGATAAAGACCATAAGCATAGTTGTTGAACTCTAGGTCATCTTGACTTCATTGCACTGAGTAGCAGCACTACAAACTGATGTCAGATACTGAGGCAGTAGAAGGAGAGGGTGGAGACTCGTCGGGTTATTTCCATTTGTTGGTCAGTTGTGTTGGGGGAAGTAGATTTCATGAAAGGTACTGTTTCTTTCAAGCATTAGTATAAACTGGTATCAATTTAGATTTTGACAGATTTATTTAAATAACTTTAACATATGACTTATTTTTAATTTGGGATAACACTCCTTACAGGACTGGAAAAAATGGCTTAGTCATTAAGAACACTAACTACTTTTCCAGAGTACAACTGTGGTGCACACTGGTTGTTTTTTCAGAGGACCCTGGTTCAATTCCCAGCTCCCATGTTGCAGCTCACAACTGTCTGTAACTCTGGTCCAAGGGGATCTGATGTCCTCTTCTGGCCCTCATGGGCACCTGATGTGGGTGCTGAGAGCCAAACACAGGTTCTATGCAAGAACAGCCAGTGTTCCTGATGAGGCAGCTCTCCAACCCACGAAATTACTTTTTAAAGAAAAGTATAACATACAGAAAACTATACAAATCACTAATGCATGCCACAGTCTTTACAAGTACACACGCTAATGTAACCAGTTCTAAAGACTGTATGTGTGTGCGTGCACATGCATGTACATATCTATGTGTGTACATGTGTGTCTGTCAGTGTGTGTGTGCATGCTTCACTGTGTCAGGTGTGCCTCAGGAACCTTCCGCAGACCCCTCTGTGACTAAGGTTGACCCTTGTCCAGCTTTGTGCTGTGTAATGCACGTGTGGTTCAGGCCTGACTTGCATCCATCATTCCTGAACAAAGCTCCTATGTCCCCCAAACACCCAGCTTTGTGCTTTGTTCCTTGAGTTTTAGTAAAGCGGGAGACTGTGCTTGGCACCCGGGACAAGCCATGGCTCTGTGTCAGAGTTTATTCCAGTGCTTCTCTGATTCTTTGTTTCTGCTCTTGTTGTTTTCTGCCTTGGTGTCCATTTCTTGAATTTCAGGAATTCTTTTCCGATTTGAGTCTCACAGACATGACTGTGCACAAAGGATTCTTCCTGTATCTAGGGAACACATCTGAGTTGGATGCTTTCCATGGCCTTCTCCACTCTTGAACTCCTTTTTCACTGTCTGTGCAGGCCCATGGAGGCAGGAGCCTTGCACTCCTGCTATTTCTTAGGCACTGTCCCCCTTCTCCCCCCCCCCCCCCCCCCCCCCCGCCTCCCAGCTCTCTCACTGGCCTGGAACTCACTGTGTAGACTACAGAGGTCTTAGAGGCCCCACCTGTCTTCACCCCTGCAGGGCTGGGATTGTAAACATCCAGTTCCACTTCCAGGCTGTTTGTTAACATGAGTTCCAGGCAACAAACTCAGATTCACACTTCCTGCCTGAGCTGTCTGCCATGAAATCCTTTGATGGCTACAGATTTTTAAATGGTCAGTTTTTTAATTTAGGGTTGTTCGTTTGGTGTCCAATATTGTCCAGCATTAGTCTTTGTTGTTTTTACAGCCCCCACTACGGTCTGTGTCTCTCATTCTCTAAGATTGAAAATCCTTTTACTTTTTAAGGTTCAACAGAGTTTGGAAAAGATTTCTAAACTGGAGCAGGAGAAAGAGCATTGGATGTTAGAAGCACAGCTAGCCAGAATCAAGCTGGAGAAGGAAAACCAGCGGATGGCAGACAGGCTGCGGAGCACGAGCAGTGCGCACCTGCGCGGGCTGGCCCAGGAAAATGCCGCTGCAGCCCCTGCTCCCTGCCCGGAGGAAGGTGCAGCTAAGGTTCCGGCAGAACCCTTGCAGAGCACCAGCCTGGTGAGTGTCCTCCTGCTCGCCCTTGCCTGCGGTTTATCTAGACCCAGCTGTTCCAGTCCTGCCCCCTAACAAAACAAAACAGCAGAAACAGCAGGAGGCTGGAAAGTCCAAGAGCTGGTGTCTCTCCAGGGCGCACTTCCTGGGTCACTGTCAGCTGCCTTTTCAGTCATGTGACATATGATCATGTTGACACCTGTAGAAGAGGTGAACTGGCTGCCTTGGTCTTGGTTTTGTAAATGTGCAGTAGGCCCTCTCCCAAGGGCACCTCCTCCTAATCCCCAGCTGGTGAATTTGGGAGATGCAGACAGGCCCATCTAAATTACATGTCAGTTCCCCTGTGCCTTCAATAAAAGAAGCTCGTCTCCTTCAGAAAGTAACTCCGCTAAATTTCACTTGGCCAGAGCCATGTTTCTGGTGAAAATCTCGTAAGTCAAATCCAGGATGATTCTGCTTTTCTTTGAAAACAGTTCCTAGATGAAGTCCTGTTGTGTCTCCAACCAAACACCAACACCTAACTTTCTAGTTACCTTGTTTTTTTTGGTTTGTTTTGGAATTTTTACCCTGCCCCCGTCTTCTATGCTCAGAGGACCGAACCCAGGGTTATCCTTGCACTTGCTAGGTGAACTAAATTTCCAACCCTGCAATTACCTAACTTTTCTAGAAAGAACCATTAATGCCTCTTTAAAAGAATTTCATATTGTGTCCCAGAAAGTGCAAACTTGGAATGTGCGTGTAACAAAGAACCACCACTCAGGCAGGCACTCTTTCCGTCAGGGGTCATGGGTGGAAGGTCTCAGCCTCACATGTCTCGCCTTCTTTTAACTGTTGTATTTAGAAGGTAAAAAAAAAAAAAAACCAACTCTCCTAGAAGGTAAAGAAACAGGTCTCTTGGCATTATAGAATCAACGACTATTTTTTTTTTTTTACAAAGTTTTCTAGTTAAGGGGAAAAAAAGGAAAGTCAAGAGAAAGAGAAATCTGCCCAGCAGTGGTGGCACACACCTTTAGTCCCAGAACTTGGGAGGCAGAGGCAGGCAGATCTCTATGAGTTCCAGGATAGCCTGGTTTACAAAGGAGTTCCAGGACAACTAGGGCTGTTACACAGAGAAACCCTGTCGGGAAAAAGGAAAAAAGAAAGGAAGGAAAAAAAGGAAGGAAGGAAGCAAGGAAATGAGAAATCAGAGAGAGGAGATGCCAGCGTCAGAGCAGTCTGAGTGGGTGAGGAGCGGAGGAGAGCTGTGGCACTGCTGCAGGATCACCAGGATGGCCAGCTGGCTCACTGATGTCACCACTGTGCAGTGTGTCTCAACTTACCTGCATCCAGTGGGGCGCATGCAGGACAGGTATACAGGCCTGCTTTCACTCCCAAGGCATGCACAGGTCGTTCCATGTCTCTGCAGTGTCCAGACCCCAGAGGACTTGTCTTTTTAGGTGTAGCTGTGGCGTTGTTAGCTCCAGAGCAGCAGTTCTCAACCTTTCTAATGCTGTGACCATTTAGTACAGTTCCTTACATTGGAGTGACCCCAACCACAATATTACTTCATTGCTACTTCATAACTGTAGTTTTGCTACTGTTATGAGTCGTGATGTAAATATCTGATACACAGGATATCTGATATGCAGTCCCCAAAGAAGTTGTGACTCCTAATGTAGAACCTCTATATTAGAGATCTGTCTTCAGGTTTTTTTAGATAAGTGTCAGTATTTAGGATAAGATATTATAATGTCTGTGGCTTACTTTTATTTTTATTATGTCTTATTTATCGTGTGTAAGTGTTCAGAGCTGGGGTCGAGAAGGAGGTTCTGACCATCTACCATGTGGAATTAGTGCCAAGTGCCTTTACATACTGAGTCATCTTGCTGGTCTGTAGCTTTCCTTTAGATTGTTCAGGGAAAAAAATGTATAAATAGAATGGTAAAGCAAAGGTAACATGTTTTTACTGAATCTTGATCGCAGATAGATGGATGAAACATCCAACAAACACACCAGAATTTAAAATCTGTCCAAGAGTTGTTAGGCAGTGTGGCAGCCCTAGTCACCCTTGAGTTACTGAAGTTAGCTACTTCCAGAATCAGCCTCATCAATGGGTCAGCCTGTTCTCCATTGCCTGACTGTCTTCCACCATCTTGCTGTTTTCCATTGTCAGGCTGTTAACTACTGTGTGACTGTTCTCCAGTGTCTAAACTATTCTCCACTGCCTGACTGCCTTCCACTGTCCAACTGTTCTCCGCTGTTTGACTGTTTCCTGCCGTCTGACTGTTCTCTACTGTCTGATACCCTCCCCCAACATCCATTCCTTCCTTTCACTTACACTTGTACTGGCCATGGCATTAGTGATGGCTGGGAAGTACCCATGGCACCAGACTGGTCCAGAGGTTATGCCGCTAGTTGTGGCAGGGATTACCATAATAATTTTCCAGACTGGACCTGCAAACATGGGAGAGTGTTATCTCAGTCCGTCCTTGGATGGGATTGTAGGGGTGTGAAACTGGTTAGTAATGAGCTCTCTAGCTCCTGGGCCTCAGTGGCTCCTGGTATCTGTAGAACTCAGTTCATCTGTTACGCATTCAAGGCCCTTGGAACCTGTCCTTCTAGCCGAACTGTGCTCGTTTCCCCTGGGTAAACCACACTGAATCCCGCTCTCTGACACTCTTGGTTGCATTTTCCCCTCCTGCCTTTGCGACTGTCCTTTGCCCAGTTGTCTGCTGACTCACCACCCTGTCACCTTGGTGCCATCGCCTCTCTCCAGCGGCTCTTTCCTGCTCTTTGACTCTCGAGTTTAAATCTAATTGGAATTAAACTGCTATTTCCAATGCTGTCTTTATGTTCCAAGTTAGAGAACGGCTGGTGCCGCCTCTGTGTTCACACACTGCTGTGCATAGTGGAATATCCCCTGCCTTCAGTTGATTTCCATCTCATATAAGCTTCCCTAGCCTTCCCTAGAGAGTGTTGTGAAATCCCAGGGAAGGTCAGTGGTGGAGTGGATGTCACAGTAGAGGGTGACATGGGCGGGTCTTAAATCTGCTCAGGAATCGAGGAGGGAGACTGGGATGAGAAGAGTCTCTCCCTGCCGCACATGGAGATCCCTGCCCAGAGGGCCTGGCCCTGCCCCCGTGTGCAGATAGTGAGGTCAAAAGACCATTATACGACTTTGCTGTTTCTGTTTCCAGCATTTTTAAAAAAGTATCCTCTGCCCTCCCTTAGGTGAACACAGTGAACTAAGTCTATAGCTGTGGCTGTGGGTGAACCCACCTTGACTTTCCATTATCTTGAGTGAGAAAAGCAAGCCTGCCTGGTTCACAGTTGATTCAAAAGGGATGAAGCCTTCAATCCAAGAGGTCACTTCAAGGCCAGATAAGCAATACCAATATAAATTGACTGTTTGAAGCCCTGTACCATTTCAGAGGCCAAATGTCAATTATTTTTATTAAAATATCCAGCACTGAATTCAACCATGTAACCATGGGTTCATTATTCTAAAAAAGATAATAATCTCAAGAAGGAAAAAATACAGAGCCATGCAAATGTTCACATTTTGTTTTAATTAAAAACATTGCTTAAATTAGTAGACTTTATGATTAAATTATGTTATATATAAAAGTGAACTATGTTCATTAGTCTCAATAACAGAAGAGTAAAAAAGAAGAAAATCGATGGCATTATCCTGTATAAATATTACTACTAAATTTCTTCTATATAATTATATCTCATTGATACAAATTTTAGGTTTCAACATAAGGTTAATGCATATTGTGTTATCAGAGATTGTAGACACTGACTACACAGTATCCACACGGACCCTGTAGACACTGACCCCACGGTTTCCACACGGACCCTGTAGACACTGACCCCACAGTATCCACACGGACCCTGTAGACACTGACCCCACGGTATCCACACGGACCCTGTAGACACTGACCACATGTTATCCACACGGACCCAGTAGACACCGACCCCACAATATCCACACGGACCCTGTAGACACTGACCACACGGTATCCACACAGACCCTGTAGACACCGACCCCACAATATCCACACGGACCCTGTAGACACTGACCCCACATTATCCACATCTAACACATTTTAGTTTTCCTGTGGTTGAGCATAGGTTATGTGTTTCACTCTTACTTATCATCTCGTTTTTATGCAATGTTTTTCCACATATCAGGTGATTTCATTGAAGTACACTCTTAGGTTGTTCTGCTCTTGTGGGGGACCTGAATTTGGTCCCCTTTGCTCAGGTTGGGCATTTCACAGCCTCCTATAGCTCCATCTCTAAGGGATCTGATGCCTTCATCTAAACTTTGGGGACACTGAACTCATGGTACATATACCCACACATAGGAATACATGTATAGGCATAATTAAAAGTAATGTCTTAAGAAAGAACTACATGTCATGTTGTAGTGGCACCTGCCTTTAATCCCAGCACTCAGGAGTCAGAGACAGATCTCTGTAAGTTCGAGGTCAGCCTGGTTACAGAGCAAGTTCCAGAACATACAGAGCTCTTACACAGAGAAGAAAGAAAAGAAAGAACTACAGAGCCAAAAGACATGAATATTATAAGTTTTTTAACCAATATAAGTTTTTTTTATTGAGTATACATTTTCTCCACTCCCTTCCCTTGAATATTATAAGTTTTTTTATCTTCATTGCCAAATATGTTCTAACGAGATTGCATTGGTTTGTACTCTTGTTAGTAGAACAAGAGAAAATATTGAGAAAACACATGTCAGAATATTCCTTCCATTTATCGACTATCCCGCTGAAGGACTCTGTATGGAACCACATTGTCAAATCTGGGAGTAAGGAGTGGGAGAAGTAAAGTGGCATAGGCAGGCATAGCTTTGTGTTTTATCTCATCAAATATAGTTATATTTGATTATAACAAAATTATAACAAACAAAATTATCAGTGGGTTATTAATATTGTTATTATTATTATTTTGGTTTTTCGAGACAGGTTTTCCCTGTAGTTTTAGAGCCTGTCCTGGAACTAGCTCTTGTAGACCAGGCTGGCCTCTAACTCACAGAGATCCACCTGCCTCTGCCTCCCAAGTGCTGGGATTAAAGGCATGCGCCACCACCGCCCGATAATCGGGTTATTATAAATAATGTTTAACTTCAAGATAAACAAAGAAATTGGGACTTTTGCTTCAAAAGGAAGCAAATTGAGGAGGAGAAAATTGCAGCTATAAGCAGAGATTCTTTTTTTTTTTAAAGATTTATTTATTTATTATGTATACAGTGTTCAGCCTCCATGTATGCTTGCAGGCCAGAAGAGGGCACCAGATCTCATTACAGATGGCTGTGAGCCACCATGTGGTTGCTGGGAATTGAACTCAGGACCTCCAGAAGAGCAGTCAGTGCTCTTAACCTCTGAGCCATCTCTCCAGCCCCCATCAGCAGAGATTCTTAAGGGAGACTCTTGTAGGTGGATAGGTGGGACATCTGGGAAGTCACAGCACTCAGTCCACAGAGTAACACCCTTGAAAGCTGGACACAGGGCATACGTATGATCCTAGCACCTGGCTGTGGCAGGCAGGAGGATTGCCATGAGTTCATGGCCAGCCATGGCTGTAGAGAGAAACTGTCTCCACAAAGGTCGTGGATAGAGGCTGGGGAATAAAAGAATGATACACTTGAGGATGGCTGAGAATATATGCAAACTGCCCACGGGAGGTCACCCCTGGTTAGCAGAGACCCATTGAGGACAGGTCTCCTTATGCCTGCCACCCACCCTGCCACCCACCCTGCCACGCCCCCCCCTGCCACTGCCCCCTGCCACCTTGGGCAGTAACTTGCATTCTGCAATCACACCTGTTTTTGACATCTTTTTCTTTTTCTAAGGGGTGATGGTAGTGGTCAGGACTGAACCGACGGCTGTGCGTATGAGTCGAGCTCTCTACCACTGAGCCACCCCCAGTCCTGGTTTTTGAGTCTTAATCTATAAAATCAAAATTTAGAAAAATTGAGTTGTAGTATAATTTATCTAAAGTTATATGTATTTATTTTAAGTCTCAAATGAATGTTTATTAATGTCTTGATAATATTATGTATGCTTTTTTTCCTTCTGAGTTTTTACACAAAGTACTTATTTGTATCCCATTCAGCCTGTTTGATGACTGTGGTCTCCATGGGACCATCTGTGTGACTGCTTTTTAAATGATGTGGTGGGGTCAAAGTTGGTCACCCTCCTGTCCCTCCTGTCCCTCCTGGATGAGTTGTTGGGTGACTTAGCATTTCGATAGAGCATTTGGCATTGGTCATTAGTTTGTGCCTCATGCAGCAGCCGTGCTGAGCATCCACAGCCTCTGGCCTGCATTACCAATGGCCTGTGTACCAGTGCAGACCGAGAAGAGAACGCACTATAGGCTGTCAGCTTCTGTGTCTGAAATGTGTGTCTTCTCTTCTAATGCTGCTTTTTCTTTATGTTCTAGGTTGGGGTTTTAACCAGGATGCCAGACAGTGAGGTAATGTGCACTCCACATTATGTTGCTTGTTAGTGCATGTGTGGCACATGCTTGTGGACGAGTCCTGTAGGAGCGCTCTGTGTGTTTTGGTAATTCTTACAAAGAAAGTGACGTTTTCTCTCATCAGCGCTTTTGTGCTGTTATCAACAGAGGGTAGCCTAGAGCCTGGCTTAGCATGTGTCTTGTTCAATGGCCGACTTCCACAGTTTTGACGGAGTGCAGCGTTTTCAGGCCTCCCTGTCTGCTTCCTGTGAGTGAGCCAGGATCTGGTGTGACTTGTCACCTGGGCTTATATATTTGAATTTTGAAATAACTGAAAATAAAGGTTCTGCATGTTACCAGTAAAGGAAAACTGAAATAGCCAAACTCGTCACTTAGTGCGGCCACAATGGTCCTAGGAGATTTGTAGAGTCTGTCATTAACTTATTTATTTCAAAGGTAATACTGAGCTTCATGAATTTTTAAATTTAGCTCAATTATGTGTCATTGCTAGTATAACCAGGAAAAATATTGGTCTGGATCAATCTGGAACAAAGGCCCTAAACACTTCTATTTTGTTTAATTTATTAGTATTTTTATGAGCACTACATTTTCCTGAAGAAAATTTAAGGGTGGAAAAACCAATGTTCTAAATTTAGAGGTTCCACAGGATCATGAGTCAACGTAGCACAGAGGTATTTACACTAGATGCTTATTGCAGCATTGTTCAGAGTAGCCAAGTCATGTGGTCAACCTGAGTGTCCATCAGCAGAGAAATGGCAAAGAAAATGTGGTTATTTACATAACAGAATTTTATGAAGCCATAAAGAATGATATATTGTTTGCAAGAAAATGGATGTAACCAGAGATTATCATATGAAGTAGATCAAGTCAGGCTCAAAAAGATAAATATAACATTTTTTCCAATTTGTGGTTTCTTAGATTTTATAAAGATACAGAAAAGCTTCTATATGGCTATCTGGAGAATGATGGAGGCTCATGAGGGGAAGAAGAAGATGGGAAGTTTGGGGCACTGTTGGGGAGGCTGTTTGTTCATTTCCGGCTGCCAAGAAATGAAATAATCACATAGAGGCTATAATTATTAAGTTATTGCTAGCTAGCTCTTATATCTTAAATTAATCCATTCCTATTATTTTATATTTTTCCACGAGGCTCATGGCCTACCAACAAGGTTCTGGCTGGCTGCTCACATCTTTCTCCTCTGGTGGCTCCGTGGCTTCTCCTGACTCTACCTACTCTCTCTATATATATATCTTTTCCAGCCTGACTATCTTCTGTTAAGCCATTGACCGAAAGCAGCTTCTTTATTCATTAACCAATAAAAGCAACACACATACAGAAGGACTCCCCACACCATTGGACCAGCAATATATATACTGTGAACTAAAACCCAGGACTGTATATATAATGACTGTATGTCAACAAAAAGCCAGGGGTTCCAATAAATACTCCCCCGTTCTCTGCTCTCTTCCAATTAAAGAGTCCATGTTAGTCAGAAAGTGGAGATTTTGAAGGTTTAGGTTTGTGGCTGATAAAAGCTGGTTAGAACTGTATGTGATGGCTTACACCTGTAATCCAAGCACTTGGGAGGTTGATGCAGGAGGATTATGCATTTCAGTTTAGCCCTAGATGCTTGGTAGCACTCTACTTCAAAAAACAAAACAAAACAGGAATGAGTGAACAGATGTCTGGAAGGACATGGTCCATGGGCTTCCTGGTACTTCACTGCAGTGCTGTTCTCTGGGGAGCTCTACCACACAGGCTGGCAGCTTCTGATGAGGAAGCCTGGGCTCTCCTGCCGTGCCTGCCGCTCCTCTGAGGTGATGGAGAGCTGTCTCCTGTGAGGTTCCAGTGAAGAGGTGTAAAGTGTGGCTGTTGTTTCTCTGCTAGAAATACCCTTCTAACTGGAACCTCTGGTTTGTGTTCTGCTTAGGTCCCGGATGTGGAGTCCCGGGAAGACCTAATTAAGAATCACTACATGGCAAGGATAGCGGAGCTCACGTCTCAGCTACAGCTGGCGGACAGTAAATCAGTGCACTTCTATGCAGAGGTGAGTGGAGTTGATAAGATTGCCACTTCCCCCACCTCTTCCAGTCGGGCCTCGCTTCTGGTTCTGTTCTTCTGCTGCTGGGAGAGATGTCACCACCAACGTGCTTTCTGTCCTCCTGTGTCTGGGTCGGTCATGCCTGATGGCGACCAGTTCATGCGCCACTCCAGCACCTTCATTTCAGTAAGTGTAAGACGTCATGCATCATTCCCAGGTTCCTGCAAGAGAGATGACAGGCTTGTGCAGCCTTTCTGTGGCCCTGTGCTGTGAGTTTTGGAGGATTACTTGTGCTGGTGGTAGAGGACACGCGCAGATAAAGGGATTTTCACATGTGCAAAGTGAAAAGTAAACCACATCCGACCTTTTTTGGTTTTATATGTACTTCCTATGAGTCTCAGCAGATGGAGACATGAGAGGACAGTTTGCAGGAACTGGCTCTTTTCCACCATGTGTTGAGGAATAAAACTCAGGTTATTAGGCTTGATGGCACCTTTATCCCCTGAGCCATCTCACCAGCCCATTTTTAAATTCTCTTCAGTGTCTTTATGTCTCTGTGTGTTGGGAGGGGGGACTGTGGATGTGCGTGTGCACACACCTGTGCATGCACATGTGGACTCCAGAGGTCAGCATCAGGTACCTTCCTCCATCATTCTCCAGCTGTCTCTTTCAGACATGGCCTTGCGCTGAACCAGAGCTATTGGTCAGATAGACTGACTGGCTAGAGCCCAGGATTCTCTTGTGTCTGCCTCCCTAGCTCTGCAGCCCTGTGCCGCCATACCTGGCTTTTTTGCATGGCTGCCGGGGATCTTCGGTCCTCACGCCTGCACAGCAGTCAGTTGACCTTCAGAGCCCTCTCTCCAGCCAGCAAGCTCACATTTCCAAATGAGAAGTTTATAGGACTGGATTTAAATGATAAAATGGAAAATGGCGCCTATTTTAACTTATAAGAGATACAAAATCTTACTTTTGTCACCTTTTTTTCTTCCTTTACTCCATAATTCATATAAATAAAACCCATTGTTCATTATACATAGAATTTACAAAGTTGGAGGGGAAGTTGTAGACTGAGACTGCTCGTTTGTTTCCCAGTTGCCCAGACACGAATAATCACACAGAAACTTTATTAATTACAACACTGCTTGGCCAAAAGTTGAGGCATATTTCTGGCTAATTCTTATATCTTAAATTAACCCATTTCTATTAATTTGTGTATCGCCAAGAGGCTGTGGCATACCGGTAAGGTTTTGGAATTCTACCATCTTTTTCTACATGGAATCTCTCTGACTCTGCCTACTCTCTATATATCTCTGTTCAGATTTCCCGCCTGGTTTTATTCTGCTAAGCCATTGGCTGGAACACCTTTATTCAACAACCAGTAAAAGTATAGAGGTTGGAGAGATGGCTCAGTGGTTAAGAGCATTGCCTCATCTTCCAAAGGTCCTGAGTTCAATTCCCAGCAACCACATGGTGGCTCACAACCATCTGTAATGAGGTCTGGTGTCCTCTTCTGGCCTGTAGGCATACACACAGACAGAATATTGTATACATAATAAATAAATAAATATTTTTTTTTAAAAAAAGCAACACATATAAAGAAGGAGATCCCACATCAGGAAGTGAATGAAATCAGTACAAATGTTAAAGAATAAGGAAGGAAGAAGGCTGGGTGGGTACGTGCAGGGTTTTAAGTCTTTGGTTCACACTTTATAGTAAGAATTAATTAAAGAGACAGGCAGAGAATTCCAGCACTTAAAGGTGTTAAACCGCAAAGGAAGGGACTCTTTTGGACGTAGTGTCATCTGTGATTGCCTCTGACATTGCAGAGATGAAGGAGTTGACAGGCAGCTAGTTGCTGGAGGTAGAAAAGCACCTTATGTTTCTCCTTTAAAGTAAATCAGCCTAGCCCAGTGTGCAGGGAGCTGCTGTGCCCCCCTTTCATTGGTGGTCTCTTATGATTGCTTGTGTTACAGTATAGAAGGGGGAACAGCAAACAGCCTGGCTAATGGTGGAACTGCTGTCTCTTGAGCTGGGCCTGCAACTGATACCACATTTCTGCTTCCCTGTCTGCTCTCCAGATTAGTGTTCCCAATGTGATTGTCATCTTCCTGTGGACCGTGCCTTGCTTGCTTTCTCCCTCTTGGTTAGGGTCAGTGCTGAGCACAGAGGGAAGTGACTGATTTGATCGTACAGACTGTCCTAAAATTTTCTCGAGAACAAATGAGTAACGGGGAATTTTAGTCTGTCTCATTTTCATGAGATCTGACTATTTTAGTACATGTTTCAGCACAATTATGATATAAAAATTTTTAGATTGTCCCAGTTTGTTCTCATCTATAAACAGGAAGTAGTACCTCCCCGTGTGACTTCACTGGAAAGGATATTTGGAGATCCTGATGTCTACACAGCATTCAATGTGTGTCTTCAAATCACCCTTGTCTGAACAATAATGAAATAAAATTTTCCCTTTTCCTTTTCATCTGCTCTGTCTTGAATCATCTGGGCTTAGTAAAACTCTTAAGAGATTTGTCTTTCCCATATCGTCAGCAAAAGTCTTTTGATGGGATTATAAAGATGTCGTGGTTTCTGCACTGGGGTCTCTACAGAAGGACTTCAAACTCAAATCCCAGATAGGGCCCCGGGTTGGCAACCTGTGATTACTTTTGAGATAACCAGTGCCCTCTATCCACAGGAGTATAAATGGGTCCTGTGTAAATAGAGAATGTTCTCGTGTGCTTTGTAATCACTGGAGCTGAGAACACTGATGAACTCAGACTGCCGGCCTTTTTTACCTTATTAAAACAAGAGGGTGTGGCTTCGTCTTCCATCCTGGTTCTTTGGCACGTGTATTCAGTAGAGAGTTTGCAAATGAATGAATGATGGCCTTTGGCTGTGGTGACTATAACCTACTAACCTTCCCAGAATAAAGTCTGATGTTTTGATTGTACAGTGCCGAGCGCTCTCGAAGAGACTAGCCCTGGCGGAGAAGTGCAAGGAGACGCTGACCGAGGAGCTGAAGCTGGCCAGTCAGAGTAGCAGCAGGCTGCAGGTGGGTTCCTGGAGGTGACTTCTGCGCCAGTGCCTTCCCTTGGGAAGTGGTGATCGCTGGCCTTAAACACACCAGTCCGCAGCTCACGTCTAACTCACCTGAAAGGAATGCGTTACTTATACTAGGCAAAGAGTGGTCATCTTACTTGTTTCTGATTTGAATTTCAAATTCTACTGTAGTCTGCATTTGTTTATTTTCACTTACCCACAATCCTTCTTCCTCTTCTTCCTTGTAAACACTCATCATGACTGGCCACAGGCTTGTTTTGCAAACATTATTTTGTCGTCTTGTTTCAGAAACTGACCAAAATAAACTTAAGAGTGCGGCTGCAAAACATTCCTCCTTCCTCACTGCTGGGTTTCATACCCTCATTTTTGCTATACATGGTGGCACACACCTTTAATCCCAGCACTTGGGAGGAAGAGGCAGGTGGATCTCTGAGGCCAACCTGGTCTACAGTCTGAGTTCCAGGGCAGCCAGGAACACATAGTGAGACCCTGCTTCATTATGTATATGCAAATACATAAGTAAATGATCAAATTCCAGTTTCCGACCTCGCCTTCCAGGAAGCTCCTGTTGATGTCAACATGAGAGAGACACAGGAAAACCCAGGAACACAGCGGTCCATGTTTCAGATCAACTTCTCAGATTGTTTAGGAGACATTGAAGAGGCCGGGAGAGCATGAAGTGCAGGCGAGAAGGTGTCCTCCTGGGAAGGAGCAGAAGGCTGGGTCTATGCAGAGCCTTTGAAAACCAGGGGTGGTTTGGAAGCATCAGTTCACCTCAGGCTTTTGGCAGTCCTGTACCCAGCCAAGGAGGGAGTGCTTATATTTTGGACATGCAGGAACATTTGTGCAAGCATGCCTGTACCTCAGACTTGCTAGGTAGACTGGCTAGCTTATCAGTGAGTCCAGGGATCTGTCTCCTCCCCCAGCACTGCGATTCCTAGTGTGCCACACAGGCCCAGCTTCTCTGGCACTTGGGGTCTCATGCTTGCAAAACAAACACTTACAAGCTAAGATAGCTCTCCAGCCCTTACGTTTTCCCAAATAAATTAGGAACGCATTCTTTGAAGGCTGATACATTTCCCCCATTTCTTTTCAGTTCGACCTGTGCCTTACCTTTGTGTTAACTGATCAGCTAGGCTGCTCTCCAGATGTTTGTAATAAAGAAGTAACTTTGACAGGCCTTCTCCTTCCCCTGCTCTAGGATGAGCTGACGACCACCAAGAGGAGCTACGAGGATCAGTTAAGCATGATGAGTGACCACCTGTGCAGCATGAACGAGACACTGTCCAAGCAGAGGGAAGAGATTGACACGCTGAAGATGTCCAGTAAGGTGTGTGCAGGGCGGGGAGTGGGAACGGCTGAAGCGGCTGGTAGAAGACACGTCACTGTGGTATCTTTCAAGGGGAAGGGTGAGGAGCACGTACTTGTGAGTCATCGTCCTGCAGTTTATTTCCCTGTCCAGAAAGAAAAATGGTTTCTTTGGCTTAGTCTAAGCTGTGGTTTGACCTGCTGCCTTTTGACATTTATGTTTTTGTGTGTGAGTGAGGGGGACCAGCAGACGGCCTTAGGAGGGGAGCATGCTCTGTCTGTAGAAGATCCTAATGCTATTTGTGGAACCCTTAGCAAATTGTTTCGTTCAGTAAAATCATTTACTCTCGTTAATCCACAAATAAAAGTCTCACACAGCTTAAGGAAGCCACTGAGACACTTATCAGTCCCAAACGCTGTCCTTCAGTGAGCTGCACAGTTTGAGACAGTAGACTTGACTTAGGGTTTTATGCTTTCAGTATCTACTACATTTTAATTCAGTTATCTACCACACAGAAGGAAGAAACAGAGTTGAAACTGGCAAAAACAACAACAACCACAACAAAATTAACTTAACGTCCTCTTTCCTGGCTCGTGTGTCCCCTGCCTGCACTCTGTCCTCTCTTGATTTCTTTTCTAAGTGTTGTACCAGATCCACACTTAGACCTGTTTCCATGTACCCGTACATTAGAGGCTCGCGTCCGTATATGAGATGGAGCACGCGCTTCCTTTCTTTTTCAGCTTAGACCACCTCTGTTAATGTTATGCTTCCCGACTCTATCCATTTTCCTGCAAATCTCATTTTTCTTTACAGCTGAATAACGTTGCATATCATCTATCTCCCACGTTTTCATTACCTCTTCATCAGTTGGTGGGCGTCGAGGCTGGTTCCATTCCCTTGCTATTCTGAGTAGAGCAGAAATTCATGTGGATGTGCAGAAGTCTCTGCAGTAGGAAATGACCTTTGGGTATATGCCCAGGAGTGGAATGGAGTCCTTTATTCTCGTAACTGCCTATATAACCTAGGGATGCTAACCATTTTATCTCTAGGATTGCTGTTGATTCTGTTTCTCGAGGGGCCTCTGTCCAAGCCAGTCAGTAGATACATCTCCATATTCCACCTCTCTGTTAGTGAATGTCAGCTTCACGACACCGGGTGCTCAGTTCTGTGTGTCATCTCAGATGATCAGAGCATTTCTGTAAGCCAGGCCTTTATCACCCGTCTGTGAGCTGAAGAACCATAGAGAGTGCAGCTGCAGTCCTGCACTGGTGGAGCAAACCAAGTCTCTGCTTGGTGAGATTTCCCCAGAGAACATTCTGGGTTCCTACCCTGGAGTCTGCAGTACACAACCCTCCCCATCATCGTTTCAGGGTAGCCATCAACTTCTCACTGTGTAGGGAGGGTTTCTGGCAATTGTCTGGGCCATCTCTGGCTGATGACCAGCCATTATGCTTCCGATTATATCTCTCTAGCTGTGCTTCGGGAAATGTGACCTTGGAGGCAGGAGGTACAGTCCTTTCCATGAATGCCTCCCCTTACTCTCATGACGTGGTTATATTTCTAGTCGCAGTAGGTCGCACACACACCAGAGAGATATCTTTGGTTTTTCTATGACGTGATTGATTACTGCAGAGTGTGGGAAAGCTAGGTGTGCACTAGTATTGAGAAGCAGTGACAGAGGAGCCCTTCAGTCCCGAGCTGCATGTCTGCTGTGTGAGGTGAGCAGATGGACTGCAGCCGCTTCAGGAGTCCCAGGGTTTTCAAGTTCTCTCAGGGGGTTATTCCCTAAGTACCTGGGTTATTAAATCCAAGTAAGAAACCTCCCTGAAGCGAAAAGTGGTGTTTTTAACCATTCTGTGGGCATTCTGTAAACCCTGTATTTTGCTTCCTCCTTGTCTTAGTCAGGGTCACTATTGCTGTGAGGAAACACCATGACCAAAGCAGCCTGGGGAGGGGAGGGTTTGTTTGACTTACACTTCCCTATCACTGTTCATCTCTGAAGGAAGTCAGGACAGGAACTCACCAGGGCAGGAACTGGAGGCAGGAGCTGGTGCAGAGGCCACGGACGGGTGCTGCTGACTGGCCCCCCATGGCTTGCTCAGCTGCTTTCTTATATAATTCAGGACCACCAGCCCAGGGATGACACCACCCAGCATGGACTGGGCCCTGCCCCATCAATCACTGATTAAGAAAATGGCCTACAGGCTTGCCTGCAGCCTGAGCTTATGGATCTTAATTGATGTTCCTTCCTCTCATATGACTTTAACTATGTCAACTTGACATAAAACTGTTCAGCACACTCTTCCACTTACTAGTAATTTACATTGCTATAGTGTCCTCCCATGGCTGAGTGAGCATTGTCTCGATACGGAGTAAATATCTCCACCGAGTGTGTTCCATAGTCTTAGTGTCTGTACTCTGCAAGTGTTGCCCTTATGGGAAGAAATGGTGTGTGGCCTCATCATTTAGGCATTTAATTAGAATGTCGTCCTAAGGAGTGGACTTCTCCGGAGAGAAGAGTTATGCCAAACCGCCAAGTGTGAGAGTTGTGCACCGCTGCTCCAAGCTCTAACAGTGGTTCTCACTTGTGGATCTCGACCTCTTCGGGGTCATCAGAAGACAGATATTTGCATCACGACTCATAGCAGTAGCAGAATTACAGTTATGAAGCAGCAATGAATTTTATGGTTGGGGTCACCACAACATGAGGAACTGTCTTAAAGGGTTGCAGCGTTAGGAAAGTTGAGAGCCACTGCCGTCAACCCTGTTATTTAAACAACAGAAAAATATATTGGAGCTAAAACTAATTGCTTTGTGAAATTGCATAAGAAAAGGAATTTGGTAAACTGGATGTCACTGGCTTTCTTTTTTATCCACTGTTGGTTCTGAGAGGGTTGGATCCATCGAAGTTGGGAGCAGGGAAAGTCAAAAATAACAGCAGCTTTGTGACCACTGAAGAAAAGCTGACATGCGTTCCTCTCAGCTGCTGTCCACATTGGAAGCCAGAGTGTTCTGCAGCACAGCATGGCCCCCAGACAACCTGTTTTATAATCTGTGAATGTTTTTCATGAGGCTTGTGTTCTGATGGTGGCCGTTGTTCCTTGCACAGGGAAATTCTAAGAAGAACAGGAGTCGATAGTTGACGAAGAGCTGGACAGTGACTGTTCCCTCCGGACCGGCTGCAGCTGCTGCCAAGAGTCTCGGGGTCAGACCCCGCAACCAGTGCTGGCGGCCTCTGGGAAGCTGAAGTGCTGTTGGACCTAGTAAACTAGCCAGTGTTGTCCGTGACCTTGAGACATTTGAAGTATATTCGTAAACAGCAAGGCAAATACAGAATTTGATGTTGGCAGTCCAATGGAAAACAATAGACATATCCATGGATATCGTGGTCTCCTTATGCTGTTTTTACTGTGCACTTTTTGAAATTAGGACTTAATTTCAGTATATAAGAACAACAAACATTTTGTATATTTTCAAGCTCGATTATATGGCAATTGATCTTGTATCTGTGGAATAGATATATGTTTCTGGATAAAATGCTTAAATTGTCAGATGTCATTATTTCCCTGTATTGTCATTTCTTCTTATAATTGAAAGATGTCTCAGATTCTTTTTAAAAGATTCTCTCTCCTCCCTCCCCTTCCTCCCCCACCCTCCTTCCCTCCATTCCTTGGGGGTGATGAGCCTCCCATCCTTCGCAGCCCATGGGTTTGCTGTCATGTCTGCAGCTGTGCAGTACTCTCTGTGTTAGAATAATTGCTCAAGGAAATTCCTGTCAATAAATTCCTACCCACACGAACCTTGTGGGCTGTCTGTGACGTGATAAAGGAGGTTCAAACACATCCAGTCCCACTGACTTAGAGATAAACTTTCTAGTTGAGCTGTTGGACAGTCCGGCCTCTAGAAGACCCTTGAGTTTGGGGGTACCCACCTTTCAAGTAGAGACCTCTGGTCTCTCCTAGACACGTGCCATTTCAGTGCAGTCCCCTGGGTGCCTGTCCCTGCACCCCATTCCCAAGGCTGCAAGCAGATGTTTTGTGCTTAGTGGCTTGTCATTGTCTCACGGATAGAAACTAAGGCTTAGAGGGCCGAGGCAACCCGGCCACAGCCACAGTAGTGCACATCCGAGCCTGCACCTCAGGAGAGCTTTTGGATGGGCATTCCGCCCCAAGTGCTCTTTCTGGGGGGTAAACTATGACATTTCTCAGTAACTCCATTACTTCATCCTGCCTCCTCTTTCATACCTTCATTCAAAAGCCTGTAAAGTTTTTAGCTAGTTAGCTTCTCAGATTCATTTAAAGGTCAGATATAATATTTGCCTTTGCTATTTTTTTCTTTTTTAAAAGGTTTTATTTTTTAAAATTATGTAGGTGTGTGTGTACACATGAGAGCAGGTGCCTGCCGAGGCTGGAGGTGTAGCACCTCCTGGAGCTGGAGCTTTCAGTAGTTGTGAGCCACCAATGGGTGGGACCTACACTCAGGTCCTTTGCGAGAGCAGCAGACGCTCCTAACTGCCGCTGTCTCTCCAGCCCTTGGCGTCATTCTTTTTCTCCTTTGATATAAGAAAAGTTACTCATTTTTTGTGTGTATGATTGCTTTACCTACATGGATGTACATGTACTGCTTGTGTGCCTGGTGCCTGGAGAGGTCAAAAGAGGACATTGGATCACTTGGAACTCGAGTCAGGCTGTTGCAAGCTGTCATGTGGGGGCTGGGAACTGGCCTGGGTCCTCTGCAAGAGTGATCTTAACCACAGAGCCACCTCCCTAGCCTCGACTTCCCTCCTATACAGACCTTGCCAACTATCAAGCAAGTCTAGTATATTTGTACCACTAACTTGTTTGTCATCGCTCATTTATAATGAGAGTTTCAAACTGTGCACAGATGTGGAGAGAACAGATTCGTGTCCCCGTCAGTTATCAGAAATACTTTGCTAAGCTTGCTTTACCCTGTCGCGCACACTTTTTTTTCTTGGAGTGTTTAAGGCAAGTCTAAGACAGATTATTTCATCTGAATGCTTCAGTTCTACACGTGTGTCAGTGAGTGTGGTAAGCACTGATTTCTGAACCTGTCTTATATGATTGATTAGTGCAGGGAGCGTGTGCTCAGGTACTGCACACAGTGTGTGTGTGTTGGGGGGCACAAACAGCTACATCAACTGCCTGGAGAGCTGCGTTGCGACATAGCGGTGATATAATCATGAACTCTCTCATCCTGTTCTGGGATTGTCTCAAATCAAGAAACACAAAGTAATACATAGAGGCTCTTTTCCTTCAACTTCTCTGTGTTTAAGTTTTTTTATTTTTTTTATTCTTAATTATGTGTGTGTAATAGGGTACACATATGTGCAGGAGGCCAGAGGCGTTGGGTTTCCTAGAACCAGAGTCACAGGCTCCATGAGCTGATGACATAGGTCTGGGAACTGAACTCCGGTCCTCTGCAAGAGCAGTATGTGTTTTTAACTGCTGAGCCGTCTCTCTCCAGCCCCCAAATTGTCTATGCTTTAATCAAAGCTCTGAGCCTCAGTGTGAGTCAGGCTGGTGTAACATACATGTTCCTGATGGAAAACAAACAAAACCTTGTCCCCAGTCCTCCTCCCACTCTGTAGAGAGAAAGCCCTTCCACTTTAAATTGGTTGCTTCACCTTTTGATCATGTTGATACTCAATATAAACTTCCTTGTGACTGTTTAGATGCACGTGTGCCAAGCCACATAATGTATGACATCTCTGTTTTCTCCGGAGCCAATGATGACCTTTAAAACATGTATTTAGTGGGTGCCATTTGTTCATTTCTAAACTCTTCCCTGGAAGTATAATTCTCCTTTCAGTGAAGCCAAATTCAGTTGGGAATTCAGCCAAGACATCTTCAAGAATCCGCAAGTCGGCTATGAGTCCCAGCTGCTGGGGAGCTCAGGTAAAGGAACCTTTGAGGCCACACCAGGTAACATGTGAGACACTATGTCAGGGAAACAGGTCTCTCTTGGAGCCCTTGGACTCACTAGGGGCTGTCTTGGTTGCTCCCTGGGCTGGAAGATTGCCGCATCCCGGGCAGTCACTGTCTCTCACCCTCTCTCAGTTCCGGAAGCCCTTCTCATGACAGCCCTCTACTCACCACTTATGCCTCCTCTCCACTGCATAGGCCTCTCAGGGCATGGGCAGTGACAACTGAGAGGAGATTTCCAGTGGGTCACGGGGGTTGGCCTCCACAATCCAGCTTGCTCTGCTTCCTGAACCACAAAGAAGTGAACACCCCTGGCATGTATTACCACTGCCAGACCTCTCCTTCTGGGATGGACTGACATCTCTCCAAACCCATTGACAAAAATAAAACTTTCCTCTGCTGAATTTTTTCTGCCAAGTATCTGGTCACTGCAAGACAGAGGTAACTTAGCACTGTTAAAAAACAGCAAACAATCAAAAGCTCGATGTTTGCAAACAAGTTTAAACAAGCAGAACCGACTAGCTGAAAGGCACAGATTGAGTTGCAACCAAAGCTTTCTTCAGTTGACTGAAAGCCTTCTCCATGGTAGAAATGCCCAGACAGAAAAGGTAAAGTTTATAGATCTGTTTTATGCATCGTTATCTCTTGAGGTTGACCCCGGCCTTTAAAAATAGTATCTTAAGATTTATTTGATTTTATGTGCATGCGTGTTAGTCTGCATGCATGTATGTGTGCCATGTGCATGTGTGATGGTCACGGATATCAGAAGAGAGCCAATTCCCTGGATCTGGAGTTGTAGATGGTTGTAACCAGGTCAGTGCTGGGAACTGAACCAGGGTCCTCTACAAGAGCAACAAGTGCTGTTACCTGCTCAGCCCTTCCTGGTCTTCAAAGTCCTCAAAATTCTCCATAACTTTAACAAGAAGAAAACCATAGACAATGGCAGATGATACTAAGAAACATCCGAGAGCCAGACCAACAAGGGCTGTCCGGTCTGTGTTTGAAGAGGAAGTTCCTGTTCTCGGCCGAGGGCCATGTCCTCAGATACCATGGTGATGAATGGGAAAGCAGTCAGCAAGTGCATTCCTCTGCCTCACATTTCTGAGCAGTTCAGTAATTAGCTCCAAATTAGGAGGCTAGCTGGCAAGGGCAGCTCTGTTCATCCAAACCTTTGAACAACTTTCTGTGAACAGACTCAGCAGAGAAAGCATGCTGGAGCCTAAAGTGGAGGGGCCTCAAAAGGCAACTCACGAGTTGGGGAACCGTAGTGTTGGTTTTACTGGGGTTGTAAATTACTCCTGAACTCCATTGCTTTTCTAAACACCAGGGAGTACGGTGGGATGGCCCAGAAGGGAAATCTCCGGGGCCCTAGAATAGAAACAGCATAATCCAGTCAACAGAATGTCAGTCATACCCTGTTCAAAGACTGAAGAATATTCTCCCTTGGCCTCTCTCCTTCCCTCCACTTCCCCGACTGTTCCTTCCTTCTTGCTAGGCCTTGACTTCATGAGCTTCCTTCCTCATTCTCCTGAGTTCTGTAGGCATTGCATCATTGCAGTCTTTTCTACCTAGCTCACCTCCTTAGTTGGGTTAAACGGACAATTTTCACATTGTATTTTAATGTATCTACCTCTACACCTGCCAGTACCTGAAACAGGAATCACTTCTTAGACCCTGACGTTTGCTGCATAGCAGGGTGTCTTGTACACAGAAAGCAGGCAATAGATAGTCTCAGGCACTGAGCCACAAACCATACCCAGAAGTGTTATCTTTATGCTAAAAGACTGTCAATGACTGCCTGGCTAGAATCGATTGCTTTCGGTTGGCATTCTCTGTTGAAGATGTAGACTTTTAGCTCAGGAAATCCCCATCCAAAGTGCAACTGGATTTCCTCAGGAAAGGACATAGCAGTAGCTCGGGTCGGCTCAGAATGTTTCGTGTGTGTAAAATGTCTGTGTACCAAGTTCTTTCTTTAATACATTTCCCCCAAAGCTGTCACTCTGTACTGAACAGTTCTCGTCATCCAAATAGAGACTATGGCTGTGAAGTTTGAGAGGACTAGTGTTCTTGTTAACCATTTGAGACTGAGCCTGGCCCTTCTCTTGAAGGTCTGTTGATCCTAAAAGCTTCAGCTGACTTGGATTTGAAGAATTCTAAGGTAGCTGAGTTTTCCCCAGGTCCTACTGCAGAAACTTTGAAGATCTTATTGTGATACTGAATCCTGAATTCTTTGAATTCCAGTGCTGGACAAACTATTTCAATATCTTTTCCATTTACTAGGCTTTCCAAGGTCACAAAGTCGATACCAGAAGTGTTTAAAACAGAATCCCACTGCTGTGTGAATTCAGGAATCTCATAGGAAGTTCTCAGTGGGTCCATGAAAAGTTTGGGGGGTGGAGTAGGGGGAATGGTCTGAATAAAATTGAGAAGGGTGGGGGCAGGAGAGATGGCTCAGCAGTTAAGAGCATTGGCTGCTCTTCCAGAGGACCTGAGTTCAATTCCCAGAACCCACATGATGGCTCATAACTGTCTGTAACTCCAAGATATGATACTCTCACACAGACATACATGTAGGCAAAACACTAATATACATAAAATAAAAATAAATGTTGTTTAAAACGTTGAGAAGTACGTTCTCTGAGGGTCTGTTTCGTGCAGCAGGGAAAAGGAGCTGGAATGAGGTCCAAGCTGGCGACATGGCTGTGGTGGCTTAGCTGAGGATAGGCTAAGCTGTTTGCCACCAGATTTGATTACAGAAAGGACTCTGCCAGAGAGGCTCCCATGGAGATACGTGCTGGAGTTAGGAGAAAGAGATCTGTGTTGAGGGAAGTGGCAAGCTCCAGAGCAGCGCGGATCA